AGACTTATGCACCACTTTATACTCAAGCAGTAGATTTCCATTTACTTTAAGTCGCTTGTGCTGCATGGGTGTCCAGAGCACAGAAATACAAATCCCATAAATGGAAATGATACATTTTCAAACAAATACATGCATTGTATTGATCAAGTCGAATCTTATTCTGCGTGTTGTCTCCTGCGCCAGCTGTTCAGCCAGTTGCATGGCTTTGGAAGGGCTCAGAGCTGTCATCTGTCTCTGGAGCACACTCTCCATCAAATGGAGCATCTGGATTACTTACCAATGTGTGGCGTGAGAGTTAGTTGTGTCTCAAGTTGTATGGGATCATTTGAACTTGTGAGTGCCACGAATAGAAATTAGTGGTTTTACGGCCCATTATGATAAAACACGTTCAGTTCTGTCAAGTAAAGTGACGAATGAGGGACGGGGATCTAAAGTGCCTGGTGGTCTCCTTCTCTGTTAGTTGTGGTGAGAAGTTTCCATTGCACCAGTTTGGGCTGGTTTGAAATAAAGCATGCTGACAGCTCAGTTGCTTTGGGCTAAACATTAGTCATTAGTCGGTGGCCAGTGAAGTCATGCATGGTAAGAAGAAGTGCAATGTAGAAGAGGAATGACAAGTGAGAAACAAGTGAAAAGACAAGAGCTGTGGGAGGGAAAATATTAAAAAAGCACAAGTAGAAATTCTGGTGGCCAGGCAGGTAAAAATGCGACAGGCTTTGACACATCTCTAAGCTTTATTTGGTTGATTGTTTTTTAACCACACTTAAAGAAAAATTAGTAGCACGCTAATTACAGGGGGAAAGCGCACAGATGAAATACGCAGTAAAAAAAAGTCCACACATTATGTCGTAATTTTATCTCTGAAAATAATCTCTTGAAAGGAATGCTTTGACTTTTGACTGCAGAGTTTGCAGAAAAAAACAGCTGCAATTGTAGCTCTGTTGTAACCAAGCCATGCTTGTGTCACTGCAAACAGCAGCCATAATCAGACCTAATTTGAAATAAATGGAGATTATTATCCCGTCAGCAGGACAAACCACTTCCTCTACACAACACTCTCCAATTTGAAATAGACTATGTTCAATGTGCTCGGCAAAATCTGGGATTTGTATTTCACAAGGCTGCAATTTCCTGTTTGGAAAAACACTGATTGTATCAGTGTTGTCTCGTTGTACGTTGTACGTTCTATCTATTCATTTACTTTTTTATTTAACTATTTATTCCTTGATTTCCAGGTAACATTTTGGCCATTTAGGTCTGTAAAAAGTCATAAAGAAAATTTAAAAGTGAACAAGTAAAAGTAAAAAAACAAAGTTAATAACTTTCTTTTTTAAAGGTGGGATGCTTTTTGCTCTATTTGAAACTATCTTATGTTTTTTACAAGTTTTCCTGCTTGTTCCCACAAGAAACATAGCATGTGTGTGTAGTCCATTAGTGGTGATCGTAGCACATTCTGGGGTAATTGCAGAGCACCGTGTTGGTGACCTTTTATCTGCACTACGTGTGCTTGTTCACATTTTTGTGTAAAGAGTGTAAATGCACTTGAGTGCCTACTCAGCCTCACGTGTGCCAATCTTTTTGGTTCTGTGCACATGCCTGTATGTTGCTGGATGATTTTGTCATAGAAACACAATAATTGCCCCGCTTTCTTTTTCACATGTGTTTTCTCAGGAGGGCTGATTGCATGAATTATACCCCAGAGCTGACTGTCAAGATGGCAGCCGCTCTCATTCTGGCAGATTTGAGCTTGAGTCAGCAGACTAACAGAAAACTGCATATATTTACTACTGTTAAGTGCTCTAACAGCAACATGTTGTGTAACTTGTTGGATTTTGTGGTGGTGGAAAAGCCAATGAGTCTCCTTCTCATGACCATAAAATTAACCAAACGGCTCTTTTGGTCATAAAAAGTGGCTAATCATTAAATTAGGAAATGATGTCTATTGGGAACATTTTGCTAACAGAAATCTTGAAAACTGAATTAGCCAGTGTCTGTAAGCAGGAACTGAAAACACTTGGTATTCTGAGAGGGGGGCTCTTAGGGTCAGATAGGTCTTTTGTTATCACCTGAACTTTTTGTCTGTGGAGCTCTGTGATTTGGTTTTGAAAGGAATCATAAATACACTTTATTCTGAAGGTTTTTGTACAGACCATTGTCATACAATGAATTGCGCAAAATTGGGAATTTCAGTTTTTGTAACATATGTATAAGGAAACACTCATAGGTTAAGAAGACTCCCACTAAGTGTGGACTGAGATAAAAATCGGTTCTTCAACCAGACAGGGGGATCAGGGAGTTCTTTGTTTTGCTTTGAGTCAAGTCTCTCTTTTGCAATTGGCTGCTGAGCTTCTAAATTCCCACATTATTGATCTAAGATGTTTTTTTGCATGTGCGTGTGCTCAGGAGAGAAAAATACATTTTTGCCTTTAAATGTAATTGATGCAACGGCTGTTTAAGGTGGTTATGGCTCCTCTCTTGGTTTTGAAAGCATTCAAAAAGCTTGAACATTTTCCAACCATTATCACGAGGTCATAACTTTGTCAAATGTAAGTCATAAATTTCCAACTATGTTTCTGTCAATTGTCTGTCATGTTGCAGGTCGTGAAACTCTTATTTACTGCTGCCAAAACGTAAGAATTTATTTGGTCATGGGGACCCAAAGGGGTGTGAACTTCCCATGCGTTGTCCCTGGAATTCCTAGCTGCTGATGCTGTGCTCACTGCACAGTAAATGCTCGAATGATTTCCAGCAAATTACTTCAAGACTGGATGTCAGGGGAGGTGAAACCAAGTCAGCCATTGGACGGCTGCCCATCTCATTAGATGTTCTGTGACCGTTAAAACCTGCATGTGATTTGTAGACGCATGCTGAAACCAGCAGGTTTTGCAAATAAATGGGGCAAAATGTGTGCAAATAAGTGCTGCAAAACGTGTGCATGAAGGCTGAAGTAATAAATTGGGATTATCCACCAACAGTTCTCATGTGAACTAAGAGCTCCCCCAACGGATCAAGCAAAAAAGATGCTGAGCCAATTCTGATTTTGTTTAGATTGTGGTGGACTTGTTTTTTCTTTTGTCGCCTCTTTTTGATAAAAAATTATTTCACCCTGACTGCGTTCACCTGAGCTTTTTTATTTCATGTGAACATCCCCAATAAAGACCAAATACATATTTCCCACTAACAATTGTACAACAAGAAGACTATCATTGTTGACTTTTTAAGAAAGAAGTCATGGAAGTTTTCAACTGTTTTATTGAGCCTTTTATTTACACTTGTGAAGGAACAGGTAATGACAAACGGCAGTGACTTATTGCGGCAGAGATGATTACATCAGGAGAGTTAAAATAGATTTATTTCGTCTCATGCTGTTTAGAGGTCGTGAATATTAGCTATGGTTTTCCACACTGGTGGTGCAGAAGTGAGTGACCATGGTTATGAGCACCATGGCCAAAACAGTCTACAGAATCCTTATAGCAGCTATGGGAACTCCTCCCTGAAGGAAAAGGATGTCAACTTTTCCATCTCAGAAAGCTTTGGCCCTAAATCCATGTTCCGTTCAGAGCAGCCTTACACATTTCCGTGTTGGTTTTAGAAAGTGATTGCTACAAAGGTTCCTTTGCTCCACGGTGAGGATTTAAAGCAATGCCAAAGTTTGGGTCATTTGGAAAAATACTTTTTGTTTCTTTGTGTATGTTATTGAAGCTGAAAGTGCTTGTAAAATGCTTTTTAATGCAGAAATATAAGATGACAAGAGCCATGATTCTGTTATTCTGCACTGTACGTTGCTGCCACGTTACCACGCAAGTAAAACTTCACTGGACAAAGGAGGGGTGCAAAGTTCTCCCTAGTATGTTAAAGAGGTTATAACACTCCAGAAAGTAGCAAATTTCATATTTACTGCAGGTCTTTGGGCTGAATTGAAGACTAAGTTCAAGCTGTTCCAATTTTCGGGAGCGTGGGTTCTTTTGTAATTGATTTCTCTCAACAAGGGAACCCTTGTTTTCCAGTTTGCTTGCATGTGCAGAACTGCAGAGTGTGTGTGAGTGTGTGTGCAGGTTTTTCTTGTAGCCCCTCATCAATCTCATTCCTCAGCACAGCTGTTGAGGCTGAAAGTCGCCCAATTTGACTCAAGAGGGGTTTTAGCAGCTCATTAACAAATAGTGCAAAGTCAGCTGAGAAACAGAAGTGACTATCAACAGCCCAAAGCACACAGGCGTTGTTGTCACTATGTGTTCCACACTTTTACCTCAGAGTGGACGAAGGTCACCATCTGTGCCGAATCGCTAGTGGACCAATGTCTATTAACTGGTCATATTGTTGTCTGTTGCTTTTCACTAACCAGAGTTTGCTGTGGTGCGTCTTTAAGTTCATATCTGGGTTTCAGATGATTGCTCATAAGAGACATTTGAATGCATTATTTTACAAATGGTAACATACTTTTTTATTCATGGATATTTGGAAGGGAAAAAAGAAACAATCAGCAGATTTTCAATGAAAACAGCCATAGTGATTATTTAATATCTATATAGTACCTATTTATATTTTATACAGGATGTATACATTCTGTATATCATTCATTCATTCTTATTCTTATCATTTTAAAAAGTCCCAGTTGATCCTGAATTGACAGAGAAGTAAAGCATCTGTGGTAAGTTTATTTGTGCTAAAGACGGCTTCTTATTGTGGATGAAGTGGAGTACTATAAACAGTATGCTAAAGTTTGTTTTTCTTCCATTTCTGCTTCTTTGCCTGAAGGTAAGGTAAGTATTAATCAAGTCTGACTTTGAGATACAGTTTTATCATTCCCATTATCTTCCTTATTTCCTTCGTCCCTTTTCTTTGTTGGTTAGATACATTTTATTTCCTGAGGTTCGTTCTCATTGCAGTTCATGCTTTGACATTTTAATCTGGACATCCGCATGAATTTGCCAAAGCTAATATTTGGCTCAGGAGCAGAATGTAGGACATAGAAATGCTTTCAATTATTCATCGGATAAAGCCTATTGCTCTATCCATCACACAGCTTCTTTTGTGTTGTTTTTTTTCTTCCAGAAATTGGACCCGTAACAATCACAACAGACCCAAAGAAGTTCCAGAATGAGCTGAGAGAGTTGTACGTTCAGGTGGGTTCAGAGATCGCATTCATCAAACTAAGGAAGCTGCAGCCCGAGCTGTATGGTCAGATCATCTGGCCTGGATGGGAAGACCTGTGAGCTGCTACACAACTTACATCAGTCTTTCTACACAGCATCCCGAGGGGTAGTTTCAAATGAAAATCTACTGTATAAAAGATCAGTCGTTAAAGAATCCAGTCATCTTTTTCTTGTTGTACTTGCTTTGCAACATGCCGGTGCATCTTTGGCCTGCTCTGTTGTCAGTCCCCTGCATGAGTATGTTATATATATTCCTGTGTCTGTTTTTCCTTGTCATACCTCTTCACCACCAAATCTCATGAAGAGATGTTGGCCAGAGTAAATGGAAAATATAGTCTTTGGAACAGACGTACGAAAACAAAACAAACTGGAAATCCTCTGTCAAGTAGGAAGAGGAATAGATACAGTTCTTAATAGATTCAGACGTTAAGTAAAAGTACTGTATGGTGGTTGGGGGTGGTAAGGCAGCTCAGTATTGGGAGCATAAGGTACATTTGGGAGTTTGATGTTTGGCCAGAGGGGATGTTTTGGGGTTCAAACGAGACAGAGAAGCCTTGTCTCTTACTCTGGCCCCCAAACTAAAATCATGGGTCACTCCATTCCAGATGTTATTCTTGGGGGTGATGTATTCTAGCGAGCTACTGAATTCCTTACACAGATGGACATGTGTCTGTTAAAACACAGAGAATATTTGTCTGTGATCTAATCAACAAGATAGAGACAAAGATTGATAGAAAGCAACTTTTTATGTTGAAATGTTAAATATGGGTTCATCCTGACAGCATAGTTATAAAAAAGTGTTCTATTTCATTTTCTATTTTGAATAACTTCAAAATTTTGCTTCCATAGCACTGCAGATGTTTTCAGACAATAGATTCAAGAAGCATCTGGATGGGTAACAGAGATTTTTGGAGCCTGAAATAGTTTCCAAAATGCCTGCAATCAAGTATTAATCCCTGGTGTTAAAATCGATATGTGTATGTGGAAATATAGCCAAATATAAATCGTTCCATTAAAGGTATTTGTTAAGATTTTTTAATGAGTTTATTACTTTGGTTAGTCATAACACTTGGTACAGAGGACTTGTTTTTTTATTTTATTTCACTCCATTATGTATTCAGGTGTGAGAGACAAAAATACACTTTAATATTAGTAGATCTGAGTCTCAAAGACGTCATTTAATTTACACAAACTTTGGGATTTTATAAACAATAAATTAATCTTACCAAGCAAATAGATTTGTTTGACAACCTACTAGTGCACAGAATTGACTGACCATTCTTTTCCGTCTTAGGGAGGTGGTGACTGTCCAGAGATGAGCATTGGTGCTATTAAGATTGCTTTGGAGATCTCCTTGCCAGGGTCCTTCATTTACGTCTTTACAGATGCTCGATCTAAAGATTACAAGTTGACGCACGATGTCCTGCAGCTTATTCAACAAAAACAGTCACAGGTCTGTAAACTACAATATGTAAGCTTTATTGTTCTCCAACTCTGGCTCACGCAAAGAACATTTTCATTTATTTTTCCTGCAGGTGGTGTTTGTGTTAACAGGAGACTGTGACGACAGGACCCACATTGGCTATAAGGTATATGAGGAGATTGCCTCTACAAGTTCTGGCCAAGTCTTCCATTTAGACAAGAAACAGGTCAATGAGGTAAGAGCATTATGTAGCATACATATCCCACCTCAAATTTCACTTTGTTTCGTTTTAAGTTTTAAAGAATTTAGAACATCATTAGGTCACATAGGTCAAATCTTTTGAAAATGGTCAGTACTGCCCTTTCAAGCTGTAGAAATTGGATGGCTGTTGAAGGTTTCAGAGGCTCTGGCATGGCTTTCGCTACACAACATTCAAACTGTGCTCCAGATATTATGAGCAGGAAGCATTTGGTTGATTGATTCATTCTATAGTTCTTTTTAACCCGTCCAAGAAATGTAAATCAACAGTTACAGACAGTAAAACGAGCCAAAGCTTGAGGTTTGAATCTTCTGCTGTTTTATTGCTTTAAGATAAGATTTCTTGCACAGGAAGGAAGGCAACTATATCTTAAACAACTTTCTGCTAAGGCTGTGCATAAACCCCTTTGCTTCATAGTGTAATACAGTTCTGTCTCTTGCCTCATGATTGTAATCTTTTCACTAAAACCACTCAAAATGAAATGTTTTAACTGTACAGTTTTTGCCATCATAGCAGATTTATTAGTTAGCAGGAAAGCAAGTATGAGGCCTATTTTGTATCAAACATGTGTGTGTCAGAGATTTATTAACAGCAACGTGTGATTTATTTTCATTAAAGACTGAAAAAGTTTTTTTTTCTTACGATTTTCTGTGTTAATGATTTTGATTATAATTACTGACATTTTATTATAATGACTGATTTTTACCACATACAAACTATTGTGACATTATTTTCTGCTCTTTAAATCTTTCTTCCATGGTTGCAGGTTCTTAAATGGGTGGAGGAGGCAGTGCAGTCCTCAAAGGTCCACCTGCTGTCCACTGATCATTTCAGTCAGGTCAGCAACACTTGGCAGATGCCTTTTGACCCCAGCCTGAAGGAGGTCACAGTGGCTCTCAGTGGCCCAGCACCTGACATCGAGATAAAAAACCCACAGGGTATGATTAATGCAGCCATATATCAACAGTAAAGCCAACAAGATTTTTAAAAACACCTACTTTTTTGGATTTATTTTCAGAATTTGTATGTAATAGATATGCTTAAACAATCAAGCAATCAAATCTGTCATTTCTTAAATTACCTGATGAAAAAAGATTAAATACCTAAATTCTTCGAAATTGGTTCTAAAAAAAAAGATCTAAGAATTCATACCACAGTACCTTTATCTTTTAGACTGACTGACTAAACTGCTCTCTCCTAAAACAAAGCATTAAACGTTCTCAGACCAAACAGAAAGGTAAAGAAATACACAAGAACTGAAAGAATGCAGATGCATTGCAGTAATCATGTTGAGAGGTTATAGAGGCATGTATCACTGTTTCAAAGTCAGACAGAAAAGAAAGAGAAAATTAAAGATTTAACTGCTGTTGATTATACCGAAAGCCAAAACAGCTGAGGTAATAAATAAATAAAGCCTCTTTCCTCTGTTATTTTACATATTTAATCTACATCAGTAATTCATACACTCCACCATCTGGGTATTTTTTCATTCTTTCTGTGATAAAATGTCTCCCATGTTTAAAATTCCCACTACTCAATGTTTCATATTCAACTTGCAACCATGCTACAAAAAGTAGTAATGCTTTATTTGTATCTGTCAAAGCAGCGAAGGCAAATAAATGTCATGTCATGTCATGTTTGGCCTCTAGGGAAGCTTGTTGGAAGGAATGACGGCCTAACAGAGCTCTTGCACATTCCCAACTCAGCCAAAGTTGTCAACATCAAGGACCCACATCCCGGGTTGTGGTCTATCAAGGTAAACAATACATTCTTTACCTGGAGACACGTGTAACATCAGATGTGTAAAGCTTCCGTCAATTCCCAGAACTGTCTTTGGGAAGACCAATTGAAAATGGTGCCGCAGTATTACATTGTTACGAGGTTGCAATTGACCCCACTTAAGGAGCTACTTGTGTATATTAGAAGGTTTCCTTTATTTAAACTGTGCAGTTCCGTACCGGCAAGATGAGTCACAGCGATGCGTAATCAATTTAACATCCATGTTGTCTGGCGGAAGCATCTCTCAGCCAAACAAAACATGATCTGAAAGATGATTTGACCCCTAGGAGGACTTTTATGAGCGCTCTGGTGGATGAAGTTAACGTATGTCCAAGGCCGCTGCTGTCAGCACGGCCCGCTGCCTTTTTCGTTGGGGCACCCTTTCTGTTCGGCTGAAAGTGTTGGCACCCTGCTGTCACTGTAATGCCAGACAGGTCAGCCGTTTAACTACCTGCAATGTCAAAGCCAGATGTTGGGATATGTAAAACATTTTTTACCAGAGTGATTTGTTGATGGGACCCCGAATGGCCCCCTTATTCTTTGTAGTCCTTTGGAGGGACAGTTTCATTTTTGCATGACTGCATTATCTGTTAGTCTAGACAGATTTACAGGGAAATGTCTTCAATATACAACTGTTACAGGACAGAGCCAAGCTAGGTGTTCCTGTGCCCAGATTGTAATACAACCTCGTGGAAATATTTGCTCTTTTTGCTGGTTTATATAATATTTTTCTCTCTTGGTGTATATATTATTTTATTTGAGAAATTCCAGAAGGTGGTAACTGGGGATCTCTCAGACTGAGCTGAATAATGGGTACATATACCTGCACACTGAGGCGGAAGTGGCTGCGGTTGTGGCTGATTGAGTGGAGCTGGAGACCAAACAGGGCAACGGGAGACACTTGGCATGATGAGAAAATCGGAACACTGTCAGGGTTGAATGCACAAGAAAAGTGAATGAATTGTAACAGAGGGTTGTCCTTGTGTCTGAACATCTCGTTTTTATGTTTTAAGGGGAAGCAATATGTTTAGACGACAGACTCACAGCATCATCCGGTCCTTTTCTTATCTGTGCTCCCTCTTGATCTGCTGGTTTAGTCCTTTTTCTCTGTTCCAATTCATCACCAATAATCTGTTGTCCTGTCATTTTTGCTCTCTGAGTCGCACAAGAAGGTCAGTGCTCGTCTTTCAAAGCGTCCTGTTATTCTTCATAGATTCCCACCCTAGATTTTCAAGCCTGACATTCTTTCCTCCACACTGGTGTTTCCCAGGCCATTTTATAAAAATGTGTACAAATAATAAAGATGGAATTCAGATTCTCCGCTTGCTGGGTTTAAGTCACACCAATAGCCTATGCCATTCTAGTGGACGGTCATAGCCGTAGATTGTGGGTGTATTTCATTTAACTGAATATAGATCTAAATGCGTGTGCATTGTGAGGTGGCAGGTTTGTCCCAATAGCCTGAACAATGGATTCGCTTTAAGTGTTGGGCAGGCCGTTCCATAAGGGTGGTGTGACATTTGGAAATGAGCAGCTTTAATGACAGGGCCTTTTCTTTACTCTACCTAGTGTGTGAACTTTAAAGAACCTCTCCCTTACTATGACCTCATTTACAACCAACCAACCAACCAGCGGTTTTAGACAATTCCGCTGCAGCCATTAAAGGAGGTTTGACCACCACCAAAATGTAATTTGCATTGTGTGTCATGACTGCAGGCAATAGTGTTTATGACTGGGGTCAATCCTACTCCCTTGTCTGAGCCAGTTTAGGGCCAGCTGTGGGTCATGACCAGCAGACGGCCTTAAGTTAAACGAAAGATCAGGGGTTAAATCAAAGTGTTCTTTTGCAAGAGACCTCTAGTCTGGCAAAAGTTTCCCCCTTGCCTGACTTCAAGGAACTATTTTGTTTGGTGTGTTTATGTCAGTTGGAGCTTAATCACTGAAAAATACAGACAGTCCACACATTCTCTTTCATTTGAAGATATTGCGCAGTAAATGACGGTTTAGGATTGCGTGCCACTTTCTGCTTTGGGACTCCATCAAGGTGTTTTACCTAAGATGAGAAGTTTTCCACCTCTTGCCAACATATACTTCAAGGCAATTACTTTGTCTCTGTTTCTCCAAATCTTCAAAAGACCTTTACATCATGAAGACCACATGAGCCATTATCCGCTCTGATTATAGTGGTTGTGTTTGTTCAAGTGAAGTATCAGAGTAAAATTGTGGAGGATTTATAAGACAAGGTGTTGTATTTGACAATAAACAGTGAGGTTTTGTCTGAACATGTGGGGATTGTTGACATACAAAATGCTGCTACACAACAATGTCTCATCTGTGTCTGTCAGCCTCTCACCACTGTTCAACACTTGATGTAACACCTACTCTTTCATGTGGTCAGAAGAGAGGGCTTTGGACTAAGTAATGTAAGAAAGTAGGGTGTGGATCTATGATTACATCAGCAGGAAACTAGCCTCCAAGTGGAGATAAGCTAAGGTTTTCCTTTTTTTTTATTATATAGACCTCAAGTGAAGGACGACACTCCGTGCGAATCACCGGTCTCAGCACCATTGACTTCCGAGCTGGGTTTTCTAGGAAGCCCACCCTGGATTTTAAGGCGACTTCCAGTAGGCCAGTTCAGGGTAAGTCTGTTTAAAATGACGCCACTTTTTTTAACTTGTGTTTTTTTTTTGCCATCTTTTGGAACAATATGCATATTTAAAATGTTCTCTTCCAGGTATTCCAACACACATCCTTCTCAACACTACCGGACTTTCTCCTCCCGCTCGGCCCGACAGGCTGGAACTCATCACAATCACAGGAGTAGTTATCAAAACTTTGCCTATCCGTTATTATCCCGAGCGCCAGCCCTATAGCCTCTGGAACATCACAGAGTTCATCCCACCCGATGAGGCTTTCTTCCTGCGGATGACAGGATACGACAGGGATGGTTTTTCGTTTCAGAGAGTTTCCAGTGTTTCTTTCTCTGGGATTGTACCAAGTAAGTTATTCCAATGTGGAATGAGATGCCAGTGATTTGACATTCAGACTGCCTGAATGAATGCCCATGTTTTCTTTTTCTAGATGCACCTAAAGTGGTTATGCCAGCTACTACTAACGGTTACTACCTCCAGAAAGGGGCTGTCAGTTGCCAGGTAGAGAGTTTGATACCCTTCACTCTACGCTTCAGCGCAGATGGGAAGCGACTTGGGGAGGACCAGCTCTTCAGGTGAGGGAGAATGTGCAAAACTGAATGGGTCAGTTCAAGTTTCCCCAGCTACTGAGATATCATTTACTCTAACCAGAGGCTCTGGACACCAGTGTACAACTAGACATATGATAAAAATGAAGAGTAATGCATTTTCATGACTCTATGTAACTTAAGTAGAAGCTTAAGATTTTATTTCATATTTGAATTAATGTTTGAAATAAATATGACCAATTTGTCATCAGACCATAGGGAAAGGGGTGTTTAAACTTTCTGAAACTCTGTTTGTAGCTTCTTTGCAGCTGGTGAAAAGGCAGAATATTAAAACAAAGTAGATCAAAAACATGCGCCATTAAGAATACTGCACCTCATCTTTCCAGTAGGTCTAAATCTGACTAAACTTCAGTCACATCCAGGGGAGATGTTAGTGGCAAAACAAATGCATTCACCATTATTCTTTAAAATGGGGATGGTAAAAAGCCATTCCTCTGCCTTGTTTGATTCCAGTGAGTCTGACAGTGCATCATGGGAAATAAACCAGGTAACTCTTAAGGATGAGGGCTACTACGAATGCATAGCTATCAGCAGTGCTGGAACCGGGCGAGCTCGCACCTTCCTGGATGTGTCAGGTAAGCAGGCAACCCAAGACCGTTTTACCAGCACATTTTCATTTAAGAACTACTCTGCAGACGTAGAAATGTTCTCGAAAAACATTGCCATATTAATCTGCTGTTTAATTTTACTTAAGGAGCTGGTTTATTTAAACAGCACTAAAATATCAGACAGAGCTGCAACACAACAGTGTTGACTTTTGTTAGTTCACTGCAGGACTGTAGTTTCTCCTAAGTACAAGACCGAGTTTAGCTCTTCACCATAACTATCTTTAATGAGCCTGGACTGTGAAAGAGGAATACACAGGGGCTGGAAAATATTAGACTGAACAAGTGTAATTAGGTGTGATGGATCTCCTGGCAAGTCAGTGAGCAATTTGGAGCATCACTATGTTTAATGTCCTTTATCAAGTTTAGAAAATAGCCCGTAAATGACTCACAGATATAAAAACACATCATACCATGGGTGAAATTGTGCAGAAAAATGAGCTGTGTGTCATCCTCAAAAGGCTTATACACACAGTTACACACACATCTATGTAGGAACAGATTCTTAGAGTCCAAATGACCACAGACATTGGCATTTCTAGCTGTCCGTCACATGCTAAGACAACAAACTAAGGCTGAATTAATAGAATTTATGGAACATTTGGCCAAGTCTACATGTTGTAATCGATGCTTCACAGTGACATCAATGGTGTACAGTATTACATGTGAACCATGTGTATAAAGAAATGCTAGATATTATGTAATATGAAAATACTTTTTAGGTCAATCCAAAAGGAGCACAGAGGGGCAGCTGTATGGTAATAACTGTGGTCCTGTTTGAATAGCATTCTGCCTGTCACCCTAATAAAAGCAAACAGAATATTATTACTGCGGTAATGAATTTGGTGCACAGTTACAGTGATCATTGTGTCACTTTGAAAAAAGTACAAACCTTGGGGATGATTTATATCTTCAGCCTCACTACTGGGCAAAATAAAACCTGACTGTTCCAGAGTCCTCTGTAGTTCATTTATTTTCCAGTCAGAGCCTTTTCCGTTATGAGACAAGAGAAATAACACAACACTAGTCTGAAAACAGCCAGTATTTCTGGTTCTGTCTTATTACTTTCCAAAAAAGGTTTCTGCTTAGTGGAATTCACTGGAGTTTCATCAACATGATGAATGCCAAGCAGACATCACGAAGGTGGGGAGAGGAGAAAAACAAAGCGCCAAAGGTTCAAAGACACTTTGTGAAACTAAAGAAAGGAAGAGGGCACCGGGCAGGGATCTGGATAGTATATAAGCGTAACACAATACTGTAAATCAGCAGCTTTGTTTTCAATGACAGTTTTTCTTTCTTTTTTATAGGTTTCCCCATGATGTTTTTTAAATTAGGTGAAAATAATCCTAGTGCTTCTGGGCCAGTCATATTCTTAACAGAATGACAGGTCCTTTCATTTCTACACATAAATGCTCACACACACATGCTAAACTGCCAAACTGCAGTCATCCAAACCCCGAGGAGCTATGCTTAAATCCCTAGTATGCTTTCTTTATCTTCTCCTGTTTTCTTCATTTTTTAATTCATTTTTTTTTACTAACAACACACTAAATGGTAAAGAGGGAAAATAAAGACATCTACCCTGTAGACTGACAGACAGTACTCGCATTCACCTGCCAGTTTATTAGTTATTCTTTTTTTTTGTTTATATGGGAGATTATAAACTGTCATAAGTTTGTTTTTGTATGAATTGGAACAATATTTAATTCCATCTCAAAACAATCAGTATATAGTACAAAATACTTTAGAATGGGATTCTTTGTGTTCATAAGGTAGTAACTAGTGCTCTCACCCTGTAGAACCTCCTCCGGCCATCACAGTTGAGAGTAATGTCACAGCCTCCCCTGGATCGAGTGCTATGCTCACCTGTCATGTGGTCAGCACCGTCAGCTTCAACGTCACCTGGCTGCGTGGAGGCCTGAATGCCCGCCTGGATCCACGGGTAAACATCCTAGCCAACCGTTCCCTGCAGGTCTCTGCTGTAACCCCTGACCACTCGGGCTGGTATGAGTGCATTGCAACCAATGAAGGAGGGGTGACTGCAGATCGGATCTATCTGACGGTGCAAGGTGAGAAGTCTTTTTTGTGTGCAGAGCAAAAACTTTTTAACAGGGATCTCTAGGCTGTGCCTGCACTTATTTTTGTCTTTTTAAGAGTTTGATTTTGATTTATGGAATGTGATGTCTATGCTTGCATTGTGTGTATGACTTGCCTTTTTACATGTACCTGTTTCTGTCTTTAATTGTCCCTAAGGGAGAGCAACACTCTTAGAAAAAAAGTTGTCTTCCTAGATATATGAATTTTTTCCAACTGCCCTTTACTCTCTTTCCAGTCTTGCTCCCTGTAATTCACCCTAGGGGTTTATGAGATGTGTGAAAATGATTTATGCTTAACATCGAGGTTGCACTTTGGAAAAGTTTTCCATCTCCTGACACTGTTTATGTACAGATGAGAAGGTATTGTAGAGCACCGGTCAGCATTTGGTCACGCAGTGTCAGTTTATTACAGCTGCTATGATCAGATTTTAAGTACTGAACAAACTGAGGTGAATTCAGATGTAAATCTGTCCAAAAAAACATCTTGTATAGTTATACAATCACCAGAAGAGGAAAAACTTTATTTAAAAGCCACATGCTGCTTACTAAGGCTCGATTTCTTTCCTGTTTTTCCCAAGTTTTGTTTGGGTCAAGACCATTTTTAAAAAGGATATGTATTTCTCAACCTAAATTCAATTAGTTCTTTAATCAGTTTTTTTACTCAGTTTTTTTTTTCAGGGTAAACATCATTGAAAAAGATTTAAAGGCTTTCAAGTAACAAGTCACCCTGTTACGAAAAACTATCCGTTATCTTTTTGAAGTTTTCTCCTTTCAATGTCATCAACGCTGCTTACTTTTATATCATCATGCGAAATCTTGCTTTTCTTTTTTAACAGATTGTCCCAGCATCTTTGATTCTAGTTTTTCACCCTCATCTCTCTTTCTTTCTGAAACAGCTGTTAGCAGGCTTGAGGGTTCCCTAATTACCCCCTGGCCAGTCCCATCCTAGTGATTAGCCTTGCTTTGAAGTAGGTCAGGTCTGCTGGAGTCTTACACCACTAAGACGTAGCACAATGGAATTGAAAGCATGACTACACTAAGCTGGCTGAATGTCAAAATTAACATTTCTTTTTACTATGGCCTTTCGTTGCCATAAATTAATTTCTTTGAAAGAAAATGTGTTTCTCTATAAAGGTGTTGGTTTTGAATTCGTAAGTCAGGAAAAATTATTTTGTCTGCTATTTCTGAACAAAATATTGAGAAGAACAACATAATTTCTGAATAGTTTGCACCCTTTGTATGTGATGTTTTTTCACATTAGACAAAGTGAATATAGACTAGAGAATAAAAAGTGAAGACAGAGTTGGGCTGGTAGAAATTACCTCTTTGTGTGCCGGAGAGGTCAGAGATGCTGGAGGTGACTGTTACAGTTGGAACAGGAAACATGTGAGAGGGAGTGAACACAGATGAGTAAAAAAAAATAGAGATGGAACAGGTGAAGCAGGGAGTGTTAAATACAAGCTTCTTCCTGTCATAGTGAAACAACTGCTGAGTCAAGCTTGAGGAATGTTCTACCCCCTTAGAAACCTCCTTGTATCTGAACTTAGAAGTGTCTCTCCCCCAATTGGGCGGGATGGCCTTGAGTACACCTGGCTTAATTGTAAAAAAAAAAGTGGACGTGGGCTTCAAATTGGCTCTGAGAGTATTTTCTTTTACCTTATTCTGATCCACAAACTGCAGTGCTTAGCCTGAGGTGGCACTAAGTGGTTTGAAAGTCAAGATTGTAATATATCAAGGGTTGTGGCTGTTCATTTATCAGCAGCATCTGGCAGATGTACTGTATATCTTTCAAAATGTGACATCTCTTGTGATTGAAGTTGGAGCGCCTGTATATAACTCTTCACATTCCTTCATTCCTTCACACCTACTGTACATGTGGAGTTTTTTTTAAAGCTTCTTAAATTATTCACCGCTGAACATCTGTCAGATCATCACATTCCTTGATTTAACCCAAAGATACTTTTAGATATTAGGTTTTTGGTGGTAAGTTTCTTTTTTTGTTTAAAATAAAAAAGAAATATCTCCAACTTAATTCCTCACAACCATTTTATATTAAAGAAAAGTCTATATTTCTGTTTTTGGAACAACACAGACTGAAAAATGTGAGTTTATATGTCATGAATAAACTCAAACGTTTCAAGTGAATTCTCTGGATCAACACTCACTCCCATTTCACCAATAATGAGGAAACAAGGACGATGTCAATTCACAAATGACCTTGTGTGATGTTTCACTTAACAACAGCCCTTCTTAAGTAGGCGCATCATCAGAGGATTTAGTGATGTTTTGTGGCTCTTCTTCCAGAGCTTCCCAGGGTGTCAGTGGAGCCAAAGAATCAGACCTTTATGACGGGTGATGATGTGAGGATCAGGTGCTCGGCCAGTGGCTATCCGCCACCTCGCCTTGTCTGGACGCACAATGACATGTTCATCATGGCATCCAGCAGGTGGATTTATCCCTTTTATATAGTTAAATAAAATACATTTGAGCTGTTTCTTGTTTTCTTAATATATAATTTAATACCAATGTTTAATCTAGACTTATACTGAACGGCACTGTTGCATAACTGGTCATGTTTGAAGCCACAATGGGCTTCTGTTTTATTTACCACATGAAAAACATTTGGTGGACAGCATATAATCTTCAGAGACTTTTTATATTTAAGATGAAACACGACATGTCTCCAACATGCACGAAGATCTCATTGTGTGGCTGTAGCGTTCACTGTATTAGAAGAGTTTCAGTCCAACTTTCAAACAGCACTACAAAGGACTTTAGAGAACAAGTGGTTAATTTGAACAGTCACACAGGAGAGTAATGTCACTGATGTGCAACTGAGTAGAATTGTTGTTAAGTCGTGTTGCTCGTTGTCAATACCCCCTCGCTATTACCATTCTTTCATATCACCCTGAATTTAATTTTCTTTGTTAATGCTGAACTGTGCATCTTACGCCACTTTCAGACACAGGATGACTCCTGATGGAACGCTGGTTATTAGAAACATGGAGAGAAAGGATGGAGGGGTGTATGGCTGCTTGGCCAGCAACCCTGCTGGTACTGACACGATGACCTCCACTCTCACTTATCTTGGTCAGTGTGACACAGCTTTTTGGCACCAGCTTTTTGTCTCTGTTGTGTTGGTCTTTTGTTTATCTCATGAGTCTCTTCCAGAATCTCCTAAGGTGACAGTACCGACAAGTGAGATTCTCTCTGGCATTGGAGCAACCACTGTGATGGCCTGTTCAGCATCGGGCATCCCTCAGCCTGAGATCTGGTGGTACAAAGGTAACAGCTTTGAAACCGAGGGAATGCTTTCTCAGTTCACGACACAAATTCAGAAAAGAAGAAAAAGAGCTAATGTAATGGAACATACATTTTTTCCATCCATCCATTTTCTGAACCGCTCATTCCCAAATGGGGTCGCGGGGTGACTGGAGCCTATCCCAGCATTCAGTGGGTGAGAGGCGGGGTACACCCTAGACGGTCCATCGCAGGGCCACACATATAGACACACAAAAACTAACAACCTTACACACACACAGTCCTAAGGGCAATTTGGAATGTCCAATCAACCTAATGATGGGAGGAAGCCAGAGTACACGGAGAGAACACATAAATCACTTAAATACAGTAAATTAAGAGTTTATAGTGAAATATTCAATATTCGTATTCATAACTTGTTCTCAGAACCTATGGTGCTACCTTGTTATAACCAGCTTCCCATCCATCACTGTTATCAAAAGGTGATGTCCAGCTGCAGTCCTCATCCCTTTTGGAGGTAGACAGATTTGGTGGAACTCTCACCATCAAGCAAACCCAGAATGTTGATGCTGGAGATTACACCTGCCTCGCTGTCAATGCTGCTGGCTCTTCATCAGGGAAGATATCGCTTGATGTTGGAGGTAGGATTCAGGCATATTTAAAACCACTGACCCACACTGTTGCTTACTCAAGAAGAAGATGTAACCGTACTGTCGGTTTTTATTAAGAACTATAAAAAAAATTTTTTTTGCAGAATGTGAATCTAGGCACAGTATATCTGAAGTCATAGACTATTAAAATGAGTCGGTTCTATAAGTCTTAATAGGTGAAACCAAGAGGGAATTGTCTCGTCATGAGTCACAACTTAAAGTATATTTATGTATGATGGCTATGTAAGGTGATATGAAGGCTTGTTGTGTGTGTTTAATGAATTATACCTTTGCCAGACCTACACCTTAATGAGTCTGGCTTCTATCAAAAGGTTGCACAGAGGTGTATTCATTAAGACAAAAGGTTATTTGTATAACCTGACACACACCCACTGTTCACAACAGTGCAAACCTAAAGGATTATAAATCTTGTGTTAATATATTGATTTGCACAAGCCATGTTTGTGATTTAATCTCTCTGTGCCACCATACATAGCTGCTTAAATGGTTACATGTTTTTTCGCTTTTTGTCTTCAACGCTGACTTCTAGCTGCACCCAGATTCACTCGAAAGCCATCAGACATGGCGGTGGACATTGGCTCCAACATCACCCTGTCATGTCATGCCCAAGGATACCCTGAGCCACTGGTCACATGGAGGAGAGAGGACGGGTCCCCTCTATTCAACAGGCCACGCATACATGGCAGTATATCCCAGAGGAGAGGAGATCTACATATAATCAGTGAGCTTATTTGTCACCTATACACATGCAGGATACATGCAAAAGGTCTTGGCACACATTTGACTTTTTCACTGGTTTTTCTTTCAGATCTGTGGATAGAGGATGAGGCGGTGTATATCTGCGAGGCCCAAAACAGCTTTGGAAGAGTCGAAACTCAGGCCAACATCACTGTGACTGGACTCGGTAAGATATGCTTGTTTAAATGTATTTAATTTCTTGAATAAATGTATTGTTTGTTTTGCTCCCAAAGAAGTTTCCTTTTTTTGACTGATTTGCATTTCACATCAAAGTAAATGTGAAATGTTTGATTTGAGAACAACTCATTCCTGCTCTGCTGTCATGCCTCCATTGTTCTGACCTTTCTGATAAAAAATGAAAGCCTGTCGGATGCTAATAGAATCCTTTTACATTTGCATTTAATATCTCTCTGAGAAAGAATAAGAAAAGGGGCCCCACTGATCATTTTTAAGCCTCCTTTAACTTGTGAGCGAGCAATAATATTTTACAGTTGAATCATATCTATAAAACAATTCTTTTTCATTTCAAAACACTATTTAATCTCTAAAATGAATGCTCTTTCTTTCTATCTGATTTTTCTAATGAAATTGTGGGTAAAAACATGCCCCTTTTCACGAGACAAGATGCAGGGCTTCTGAGCACCCGCATCTGTCTGTATCTTTGGGCATGTGTGTTTCTGTGTCAGTCCTTGCACATGAGTGTGACTTCATTAGCAAGCTTCTGTGGTTGTGTGGGAACACATGTGCCTTGTTAACCACCATTTTAGCGTCACCTCTTCTCTGTGGTGTTAACACACTTATTTTGTGAATGTGGGCCAAAGGTTAGAAAGTAAAGACCCACCCAGAGGACATGTTACCCTCCCCACCACTGCCTGTGTGTATTCTGTGTGTCCCATAGCCTGTGTTATCACGAAATCCTACAATCTGTCATTTTTCCTGTCATCTTTAAATTTACCACCTAGTGATGAGATTAGAACGCGTCATCTTTTAATGATTTCTTTTTCTGGCAGATGTTTTATTGTTTGTTTAAACATCGTATAATCCACAGTTTCACCAGTCATTGCCATGAATCCGGCAGTGCTGAGTGTAACCGAGGACCAGCAGCTAACTCTTCTCTGTGTGCTGCTGGCTGGGAATCCTCTGCCTGAGAGGCAGTGGTTGCACAACTATGGCCTGGTGAGAGCGCAAAGAAGAGAAATCAACCGCTACAGATGATAAACTCTGGGTTTATTAAAAACCTCTTCAAACCTAAATCCATTAGGTGACCTCGGACCCGTATGTAACAGTCAGGAGGGATGGCAGTCTCCATATTGAGAGAGTTCGGCTGGATGATGCGGGCGACTACACCTGTTTGGCTGAGAATGTTGTTGGGGCCACCAATCAAACAACCATCGTCAATGTCTACGGTAAAGCAACTACAACACAATGATACCTCTAGCGCCAGACAATGTCACAGTTAAAAACTGAGGCATAGCAAATGTATGAATCAAGTTGTGCTTTCTTTGCTATAAGTCTAATCACCCTTTGTTAAACAAGAGGAATTTGTTGTATGTGTTTTATTATTATTTTTATTTTATTCTACTATCTCCTCTATTACTGACCTTTCTTAGATACCTGTTTATCTCTATAAAGGTTTCTCCTAAACATTATCTCTCTGATTAAATTATACCCCGAAACCGCTGAGTGTTCAATCACTGACTTGGTGAAACTAGTGGCAGCAAAGCATTGTGTTTTTCCTTTATATTTCAATTACATAATGTCAGATGATGCAGTGTTTACAGTGTGAACATTGAGGCCTTTTTGGTGCTTAGCTCCTCAAATAATGACTGGCCTTTTTGTGTGGACAAGGCATCTCAAGAGTAGAATAAATCAGATGTGTGTTTCGAATACACTAAGTCCACTGGGTACTCTAAGTTACACAACATGTGAGCGGATTGGCACATGCAGATAGTAGTACAACAGTCTGTAATACTTAATGGAGACACGAATACAATCTGAACCTATAACCCTTATATCCACAGCGATTCCAAGTATCCAGCATGGTCCCCAAGTCTTTAGCACAACCGAGGGAACACCTATATCTCTACCCTGTCGTGCCAGTGGAATACCAAGCCCTGACATCACCTGGACCAAGGTGTGTATGAGTATTATGTCTTCACTTAGAAAAATGAATGAATTAATTTTCAGCATTCAGTTCAGGCATAATTTTTGCTGTTGAGGCTTTAAAACATTGAAACAATAAAGTAAAGTTCTGTTAAAATGTGTCACCAAAACATTCAAGATATCCTAGTTCTCACACATGTACATAGAAAAATTTTGAACTGAATATGTAGCTCAGTAACTTCTGTTTTTGAGTTGCTGTGAGCTCAGTGTATTTGCATGCGTCTTCTGCCTGTTTCCATCTGCCACGTGCTCACCGTGGACTTCTGCAGGTTAATGCAAACTTTAAGCTTTTACGCATGGCAGGCCTTCCGTACCTCTTTTCCATTTTCAACACAACTTTTTTGGAGTTATAAAAGCTTTGCTGTTAAAGTGAACAGGGCAATAGGGACATATGAAACAAGACCCTTCTCAATTCAGAACCAGCTCCACAGATGGGATTCTCTCTTTTTCTCTCTGATTCCTTTGCTGTTCTCTTTAATGTCAGTCAAGTCAGGTTGGTCACAACAGAGCCAAAAAGACTGGCAGTGTAACATTTGGTTTGTGATTTGGCTGTTTGATTGAATAACTCTGAATGTTTCATTTATTTCATTTTTGTTTAACAGTATGGGTGAACATCAGACTAGAATTTAAGCACTCCTGGGCATCCAGTCAAATGTTAATAAAGCTGGCTAAATGAAGTGTACTATGGCTCCTGCTGTAACTTTCTCTTCAGGGTGGGGAGCTGCTGAACTTGGGTGGTCCAGCCTTCTCTTTGGACTCTGATGGAAGCCTCCTCATCACTTCTCCCTCTGGAAATGAGACTGGAGAATTTATCTGCACAGCTACCAATGCCGCTGGCCATGTATCCAGAAAGGTCCAGCTCACAGTCTATGGTAACCCGCACACTAATTTAGGTCTGGATGAAGTCTGTTGAAAAATGAAAGGATGAAATGAAGCATGTCACTTCAAGTTATCACCAAAGTTATCATGAGAACAGAGACAATGGTTAAAGTATCACATATTTTGTAAAGAGGTATGTGCCTTTTAACATATGCTGTGAGTTCAGGTTGACTTTAAATGTAATCATTACATTTTATTCACTGATTTTTATTACTTTTAGTGACAAATGATTGGACATGATCATCTTTGTATCCCACACAAAAACAGCAGGCTTTTTGGTCTGGAATGCAAAATGCAATGGATCATTTCATTCGAGATTTAAGATCCAATTTATTTCTCATAAACGCTGCTCAGAAAATGAAAAACTAATTTAAATGTAGACACAAAATCTCCTACTTTGATTTGTTTTTATATAGTTGAGATGACCTGCTATGATAAAAATGCTCTCTTCTTGTATTGTCAAGTGACAGCTCATGAGCTCATAAACCTCCTTTTGTATCTGCAAACAACAGAACGAAAACAACATGATTAAAATCATAGATGCTATGAGATCCTTGAACAAATTCCTTGGAATTAAATTGAATCTGTGTTTGCTTGCCCAGTCCGACCCAGGCCCCATGCTGTTGGCAATGGAGGCTCAGCAGAGCCAGTGAAGATGTCAGTGATTGAGGGGGAAGATACTGTTTTGCCATGTGATGTCCACAGTGTTCCACCTCCCACCATAAGCTGGGCCAAAGAGAAGCAGCTCATCTCCCCTTTCTCTCCACGGTAAGACACAAATGATACTGGAGACATCCCGAGATCAGCCTTTGATAAGACAAAGTAATTTATAATTGCTTTGACTGAAATGTTCCTGTTTTTTATCCTGTTCTATATCTATTTTTAAAAAATCACAAATGTCAGTTCAAATGCAGCCAGTATAAAATGCAAAGGCAATAAAAAGATTGTTTTGATCGAGAAAACTGACAAATCTGCATAACCTGTTATTATTGGCAACAGAAGAAAAAACACTTGATTGTCTTTCAGCTGAATTTACTTATAGAGCATTATTATACAGCAATCAATTTTCCAACAGTCGTAACAAGAGATGGATGAAGCCTCTCTGAAGATTAGTTTTGTAATGCGAACAGAAAAAACTCCAGAAAACCACCATGTCCTCAATGTTTTGTCTCTGTCATTCTTTCATGACCTCCGGGTATAGTCTGTGGTTCTGTGAGATGACTGAGTGATCATACTTTGCTCTGTGATCTTTTGATTTTACTGAGTTCCCGCCACAGTCACGGTAATTATGGTTGATGGTGAATTGGGGAGAATGACGGCGGCATATGTTTACAGAATCAACTGCATGAGCTAATGAGAAAAAATAATTAATGCGTGAGAGCATGCTTTTTTATTTGGCAGCATTGCAAGCATAATTGTTACTTTCATGCTTTCACATTAAAGTTAAAACTGTCTGATTTTGTGTACTTATGTGTGTGCGTGTCTGTGATTGTGTATTTTTTACCTCCCAGGCATAACCAGCTTCCCTCTGGATCCATGAAGATCTTAGAAACCAGACTTTCAGACAGTGGGCTTTACATTTGTGTTGCCTCCAATATTGCTGGAAACTTGACTCTAATGACTGAGCTGAGTGTTTTGGGTAAATTTAAAAGACTCTTTCAAAAATTAAATATTATGTCATAATTTATCATTTCTCTAAATCTACTGTATACATGTGAAGCTTTTATATTTTGTCAAAAGATCACATGATGAAAAATGCACTCATTTGGGTAAAACTGACTGGCGTTTGTGGTCTATTTTATGTTTTTCTGGAAAATGTCACCATGCTTTCTGCAGTACCCCCAAGGATTCAGCCTGGTCCCAAAGTAATGAAGGCACAAGTGGGTCACTCGGTGGAGCTCCCATGCGTGGTCAGAGGGGTCCCAGAGCCGACACTCACCTGGACTAAGGACAGTAAAGCATACCCAGTGTCACCTGATGGCAGCCTGGTGCTGAAGAACGTGGGGCTGGAGGATGAAGGAACATACACCTGCACAGCCACCAGTCCTGCAGGCAGTGATGAGGCTCAGGTGGATCTTCAAGTTCAAGGTTGGTTTTTAGATATGTATGTGTGTGAGCTCTTTGTACTTGTGAATGTCTACGTGTTATGAGTTGTTTACATGTGTTTATTTAGTTTCTTTTTGATTAAGTAGTGCACAGCACCAGGAAGCAATCTGTAACATCTGAAATACATAAACACAAACACTGGGAAAGAGAGCAACAAGATATTAAATGCAAAAGTTCAGCCTGCCAGAAACTGAGTCCTTTGTTTAGGATATTTGTGTCTGCTTTTGTCCTTGATTCAGTATTTTCTTTGTTTTGTTTTTTGTTTTTTAATCAGTGCCCCCGGTTGTTGAAGTACTGGAGCCCCCCTTCAACAGCCCTTTGCAGGAGAGAGTTGAAAACCAGCGAATCGCCTTCCCCTGCCCTGCCAAAGGTTCGGGACTTTCCTCCCCTTCCAGCCTTGAATTTGGAACTAACATTTTGATTAAAAACAAAAACACATTTAGTAAGATAAAGGGCAGCACTCTAAACCCTAAAATTACATGCCAACAATCTGTGGAGCATTCATATTTGTAAGTTATGAAAAACAAACAATCCAAAAAACAATAGAAAAAACAAACAATACAAACCACATCGAACTTATGGCAAAAACCATGTAAGTTCCATTTACATAATATTTAAAGAGAGACAGGTTTTTAGACTAAACATTGTTTGAGATACAATGGCTGGTTGGGAGTTTGTAGCTTTGGTCAACAGAGGATAGATAGAATTTTGGTAGCTGATTAGAGGTAGTATTTGAAATATCGAAAATGACAAATTATTTTAATGACAAATGATCTTAAGTTGTTATATAAATGAAGCCTCCTGTCATCATCTTTCTGTCAGGTCTCCCTAAGCCAGTGATTCGTTGGTTGCGAAACGGCCAGGAGCTGACAGGCAATGAGCCTGGTGTATCCATCCTCAAGGATGGCACTCTTCTTATTCTTGCCTCTGTCTCACCTCTGGATAACGGGGAGTATGTCTGTACTGCTGCCAATGATGCTGGATCCACGGAGAAAAAGTACCAACTCAAAGTCAATGGTGATTTGACATGTTTATTAACTCATATGCCGGCACATCTGTGACTCTCTTGTCGAGCGTTCCTTTTCTATATATATATTTATCAAGTATTAATCGCCTGCCACATCTCCACAGTGCCTCCGAATTTCCCTGACATGTCAGGCAACGTGTCAGTGGTCCTGAGCCAGCCCACCAGCTTGGTTTGTGACGTCACAGGAAGTCCAACCCCTGTCATCACCTGGTACAAAGATGGGTCCCCTGTAGGTGCAAATTGCTAAACTCAAAGAGCCGCTTATATATGTTCTGATTTTCTTTTCTGACACAAAACTAACACAAAAAAGAAGAAAAATCAAATACTCACGCAGAGCTTCATTGCTTATAAAACCTACACACAACCTCAAATGAGTCTTATTCAACGGATCACATCACATTGTTTTCACAAACATAAAAGAAAAGAGCAATTACAAGGCCCCTTCCTCCATTTGTTAATGGAAGCACTCATGAAAACTAAACAAGCTCAGATTGCAGGGTGTGCAATCCAAGACAGCAGTATTAAAACAGTGTTAAGCCATTTTGTATAAATGTGTGCAGAAAAAAAACAGACTTGGTTCCAGCATCCATCAGGCTCTAATGACAACATGACATTTATTAAATGATGCAAGAAGAGAGCACCATCACTCACTTTGCTGTGAAATCCCGGTCAGTTGGCGGCATTTGGCTTTCTTGGCTGAAAAACTATGTTTACCTGCCAGTCACTGATGGGAAAATGTACCATAATCTACTAATGATTGATCATCTAAACTGAAATGATTGGTTGCCTGAATGCTTTTGGCTCTGAGTTAAAGTAGAACTCTTGTGACAGCCTTTAAGCCTTTTCACATGATCTCAATGTGTGGACTGTTGTTGATTTTCTACATCTGCCGAAATCTAATGCAGCAGCTTTTATTAGGATGAGATTCTAAGAGCTTGATGCCTTACAGTTTGTCCAATAATCCCTGTCAAGCAGCATTTCTTTAACTTTCAGTTACTGTGTTTTACACCTGATTGACAGGTAGTTACCAGTAACAGCATCCAGATTCTTGATATGGGGAAAACACTGAGACTACTGAAGGCGAAAACTACAGATGCAGGCAGCTACAGCTGTAAAGCCATCAACATCGCAGGCAGCAAAGAAAAAGACTTCTTCTTGGATGTTCTTGGTGAGTAAAGATAGCGAACTGTTATCAAACACAGAGAGATTTTTATTTCAGATGATGATATTTTTTATTATTCACTCTTAAAGGAGTAAATATTTTCTCTCATATTAAAGATCCAAAACTGTTTCAAACAGATTTAAAAGAAGGATGGGTGTGACATCTTTTAGACTTATAAATGCCCTCAGAATTTGTAGTAATTTGGAATAATTTTTCTAATTATATGTCTGACGAAGCAAATCTCTTTCCTCAGTCCCACCAACAATTGTTGGTTCTGGCTCTCCTCAAGATGTCTCAGCCATTCTTAAACAAGAGGTCACTCTAGAGTGCAATGTGCAAGGATCGCCCTCTCCCACAGTCCAGTGGTACAAGGACAGGAAGTAAGTGCTTGCAGATATTAAAGGCGTGAAATATAAACCAAACATTCTTCAATCCGTAATTCCCATCCATCTGACTCTTATTTCTCTGCAGGCTTGTGTTTCTAGGGGATCCCAATCTAGAGGTCATCAACAGGGGTCAGGTTTTGAGAATTAAAAGTGCCCGTCTGGGAGACCAGGCCCGCTACCAGTGTAGTGTCGTGAACGCAGCAGGAAAACAGTCCAAAGACTTCAATCTCATTGTCTATGGTAACTTCATACAAGAAGAGCAGTTAAAGTAATGTGTGCACAGCCTATTCTAACCGGCCAGCTTTTGTCGTTTGCAATTTTGTTTTAGTGCCCCCTTCCATCAAAGGAGGCAACCTGACCACAGAGGTGACGGCACTGCTGAACACCATGGTAACGCTGGAATGTGAGGCACGTGGGGTGCCACTGCCCACCATCACCTGGTACCACAAAGGAGAGGTCATCCTGTCGAGCCGCAAGGCTCAGTACGTGGAGCGAGGTCACCGCCTAAAGATTCCTCGAGCGCAGGCGTCTGACGCCGGTCTGTACACCTGCAAGGTGACCAGCGTGGCTGGGAGCGCTGAGAAGAGCTATGGGCTGGATGTCTATTGTGAGTCGGATATCCTAACGCATTGCTTTTCATTGCATATATGGTTTTATTTCATTATTATTTTCATTTTTATCCCCTTATTTTCTTCAGAGAAAAAAGCTAAGAAAGGTGTCAACACATGATATCCTTGTTGTGAAAATCTAAATGATATTTAGTCACTAAATCAAAGTTTAAAAGGAGAATTTTTTGGATACCAGATTCTTTCTGTCTTTGTGACCTTTCTGCTGTCTGTTGTTAGCTCTGAGGCTTATTATTGTTTCAAATGGAACTTTAGGGAATGTGGGTTTACTTAGGAAGCATAAGGACTTTTGCAGCAGTCAAGACTGATTCTAAGCAGCTGTGAAGATTTGGCAGACAATATAAAAAAAACATTTTTGAAGAGAATTAAATGGATCCAGAGCTGAAGATTTAATACACAAAGCAATTTTACATGATGTTGGCTGATGAAAGCCTTGAGCATTAGACATAAATACGATAACTATCGAACAGAGAAGTCCAGAGAGATTTAACAGCCATTTTTTTTCCTTCCTATGAATATTCCCACAGTGCCTCCTACCATTGCAGGAGGGGACGACGGCCCGACTGAGAGGAAAGTGGTTCTAGCTAAATCTCTGATCTTGGAGTGTGAGGCAGAAGGTTATCCCACACCCTCACTCACCTGGCTGAAAGATGGAGTCCCTGTGCGTGACGGGCAAAGTGTTCATGTGCTTGAGCAGGGGAGGAAAATCGAAATCCTGTCAGCCACCGTCTCAGACTCAGGACGCTACATCTGTGTGGCCACAAGCATCGCAGGGGAGAAAGAGGTCAAATATGATGTCAGAGTTTTAGGTAAGGAAAAACTAAGTATTCTATTAATTATGCAAGAGGAAATATGGCCCAAAACAAACATCTTAGTACTCAGAAAAACCTTTATGCTTTCGAGCTGATTGCATTTTATTTAACAACTAATTTATCAAGAGTTAGTGTAAGGGATAATTATACGTCCTGGCTTCATTGTCCCTTAAATTTTCTTTTTGATATTTTTTTAAAATATCGGTCGTTTTTATGCTTTTTTTAAAATTAATTCTGTCTTCTTAAGTAAAGTCGGCCAATAAACATCTAATTAATTACTTAATGAGAGTGTTTCCCCCTGATGAAGGCTGTCTTGTGCACTAGTTCTCTGAGTGCACGCTTCAAACAGCTGCAGCTCTTCATTTTTTGTTTAATCTGGGAACAATTTGACCCCTGAAAAAAAGCAGAGACCCGTTGTCGGCAGGATTCGAACCTGCGCGGGGAGACCCCAATGGATTTCTAGTCCATCGCCTTAACCACTCGGCCACGACAACTGATGACACGGCTGTGCCGAGGCTGTTTGTTTTCTGCTGAATGTGCTCCCTTCCACACCATGTGTGCATTCCCCATGGGAAACCGTCACCTGCTACTCCACAGAGGCATTGCATTTCTGACTCAAATGTAAACCTCACAAGACCCACAGCATGTAATCCAGGACAGAGCCCTGAGGATATTCCCTTACTCGTTTACCGTTTTTAGCTCACATTATTGGTTGTGGGAAGACCAAAATTCACTTTGATTTTTTTTTTCTCACTCCTAGTTCCACCTTTCATTAATGGAGCTGAAGATGTCACGGATAGCACAGTTGTCATCAACACCCCCTTGGAGCTGGAGTGTCACGCTACTGGAACACCTGCACCCGTCATCACGTAACACATCTGTCCAATGCAAAAGCAGAAACAAAAATAAGCGAACATGTGGCCGCGTGCAAAATCACTTAAAAAAATCCTCTCTCACCAGATGGTATAAAGGTGGAAAACCAGTCAAACAAGGTGAAGGAGTGCGTATTGCAGCCAACGGGAGACAGCTGGTTGTCTCCCGCACTCAGGTCTCTGACACAGCTCGTTTCCAGTGTGTGGCCACCAACGAGGCGGGAGACCATGAGAGGGATTTCAATGTGGTGGTGCATGGTAAGAAATACAAGTACTAGATGTAAAAACCACATTCCTAATCATTTTGCATGGAGTGAGGGTTCTAAGTCAAACTGCAGGAAGGATAAGCACTTTGTTATGTTCTTTTTCCCCACATTTAGATAGTAAAATATTTGAATTTTTAATGTAAAAGAATTGCCATTGCCATTCCTGCAGTTCCTCCATCTATGCGTACCACTGGACCTGCTGAACGTTCAGTAATTCTACACAAGTCTGTCAGTTTGGATTGCATCTCTAGTGGCATCCCTCCACCAACTATCACCTGGCTTAAAGATGGCCGACCTGTTGACACAACAAAGGAGCACCTTAAGGTCGGTGCCACTTTGCCAGTTATACATTAAAAAACTACAAATATGTACCATTTTGTGTTGTTACATGCACTAAAACTATTACTAACACACTATTCTAATGGGTGATTTTTAATTCAGTCAATTTTAAATCTGCAATTTACAACAATAACCCCCCAGCATAATAAGATCATTTATCAAATAAAATGTGTTAGCTTTATTAAGTCATATTTCCTTAGGATAGTATATGCCAATATACATCATGCCCAGTCTAAAGGATACTGGGCCTTTTATAAAACTATTCATACCGGGACTATAAATGCAAGGAACATGTGGAGCGTCAGTCAAATTACCGTAATTCTGCAAAAAGAGCCCCCTGCTGGCAATCACACCTGATGCTGATGGAAAAAGTTTTGCTTTGTTTTTCAAGAATGCAATAAAGCTCTGCATGACTATTTGTTTTTCCTATTTGTACTTGTATAATTAATGTCTTATGATATTATGACATACTTTTGAATTTACCCAATAATAAAACACTGAGCATACTGTGCAATCCCTACAAGCTTACGCATATTTGCTTAAAGTTTAATAGTGACAGGAACAAAAGATCATTATACAATGGAGATTTCATGGGGAGTTGTGGTTTAATCTGCTTGCAGGGTTATATTCTGTCTTTTCCCTATAAGACTGTCAGATGGTAGATTTTTCTTAAACTGTCTGGAAGTGCTGGCATTCACTCCTTCCTGTTATTGAAGTGTGTCAGTTGAAGTTTAGATTTTGATGAGTAATTCTTAGTCTCTTTTGTGTCTCTGTATGTGTTACTGTTAGTTGCAGTCAGCAGGCAGAACTCTCAAGATTACAGAGGCAAGACTTGAAGATTCAGGGAGATACACGTGCCTAGCCACCAATGCAGCTGGTGAAGCTCAACAGCACATTCAACTCAGTGTCCATGGTAACTCACAGTAACAAAGCACAATTTCTCAACACTCATCCCTTGTTTCACTCATCTCCTGGCTTCTGTCATAGATATTTAGTCAGTCTTCTTTGTATTATCAAAAGACTAGGTGGGGATTTGCGAATGGCGTGCAATAAATAATATTGTTCATGTCTCTTAGAGCCTCCCAGAATTGCTTCCTCTGGAAAGATCATCAACCAGACCATTCTGTCAGGCTTTCCCACCGAACTTGAGTGCAAGGCCACAGGAAGCCCATTACCTGGTAAGACGGATTACAGATGTTCTGCAGGCTTCACTCGCAACTGGTAGGGAGTGTCTTCCTGAGACCACCTTCTTGGCTTTCTATTAGTTGGTTTTGTCTTTAATCATTAAATTGACAGCAAAGAGTTCTCTCAGTTGTTTCATTGGGGTCAAAATGAAGCAAATCTGAAGATCATTTATTCATCAGGCATTATATCCACAGGATTTCATTAAAATCCTCTTATCACTATCCACTTCAATAATTAAGTATGAGGAAGAATTAAGCATCCAGGCGATTACATTGATATTTTAAAAGCCGTCCAAAATAAAAATCAGAAGTATTATACAGACGTGGAACTGAACAATTATTTTGATAGAATAACTTGTTACGACTGTCATTCCTATGTTCTTAAGAACATTTATGGTTCATGGTACAAGAAATATTTTCTTTATGATTTATTTGACTGTCATTCTAATGCTTTTAAAAGTGAATTTATGCTTAATGTAAAGTACTCTCCATTACCTCCTCAGCTATCTCTTGGTACAAAGATGGCCGACCTCTGACCGGTGCAGCTGGTATGTCGATGCTGAAGCACGGCCAGGTGCTGGAGATTGAGAGAGCTCAACTGTCTGATGCTGGAATGTACAAATGTTTAGCTGTCAACGTGGCTGGAGCTGCAGAAATACTTTACGGCCTACAGGTGTTTGGTGGGTGTGTTTTTTTTTTAAATTGGGATTATATAGTTACGATAGCTCACCAAGAGTATGACCAAAGCCCATACCTTTCACTTTTATGTGTTACAGTGCCTCCGGTTATTTCCAGTCGAGGTGGTACAGTTACAGTCGTGGTAAATGAAGCCACCAGGTTGGAATGTGAGGCCTCTGGTGTTCCCATGCCCAGTCTCACATGGCTAAAAGATGGCAGCCCAGTGGCAAGCGTTTCACATGGCATACAGGTTCTGATGAATTCATTCAGCTAATCTTTAAGTTTACAGATATGTATTGTTCAAAAACTACTGAGTGTCATAATCTAAGTTAAAACATATCAAGTAGTGGTTTGAAATGCAGCTAAATCTGTCTCCAGATCCTGATAGTAAGAATAATTCAGTTTCTGTACAATTTTGCAAGTCTCTACTTTCTGCAGACTTTTTTTTTTACATCCCGTGTTGTTTTAAAATGTGTGCTGATCGCTTTGATCTGATTTCTGATCTCAGGTTTTGTCTGGGGGCAGAGTTCTGTCTCTGAACAGCGCACAGATTAGTGATACTGGCAGGTACACCTGTGTGGCTGTAAATGCTGGAGGAGAACAACAAAGAGAGTACAACCTGAGGGTTTATGGTGAGAAATTAGTCTATTTGTCAGTTACTGCTGATGTGTGGATGAAACCTCGCTTTTTTCATTAACTTTAAAAGCAGCATTTGTATAAATCTCCAGGTTCTTCTTTCAGTTTTATAAATGTCCATTGACATTTAGCATATGCATTTGACAGCTCTGAGATAAACGTGAAAGTGTCATTCAGTTTTATTGTACTTGTGTTTTGCTATGCTCTCATTCCCGTCTTCTGGAGAACATTTTCCTGTTTTTGTCTCTAGGGTCTTCATATTTTAGAACTAACAAATGATTGCAGCTGTCTGTAGTGTGTCTCTTAGCAGAGCCTTAGACTAAACGCACAAACACATTCATTAAAATCCTAATACAACTGACAAAAGCCTTGAGCAAAATATGTTCAAGGAAATATGGTTTGGCTGAGGCTCAAAAAAACTTGTCAGATCCACTCATGTGGCTGAGCTCACCAAAGTCTCACCAAAGCTAATGCCGCAGACTTAAATAAAGGCATTAGCTTAGATTTATTAGTTGTACTCTGGGCAACTTTGAGTTACTTCACATTTCAGACTTTCGGAACATTTGTTTGTGTTCTGTGAACGGCCTGCTCAGAGCGTTTAGTCAACATTTTCAGTGACTGGGCTTTGTGTCTGCTGCAGTGCCGCCTAACATTGAGGGGGAGGAGGTGAATGCAACAGTAATGTTTGGACATCCAGTGGAGCTGCACTGCCAGAGCGATGCAGTCCCCCCACCTACCCTCACTTGGCACAAAGATGGCCGCCCCCTCTTTAACAAACCTGGTCTGACTGTCTCTGCAGATGGAAGCTTACTCAAGGTAGAATTTATGAGATGTTAATCAATAAAATGAGAAACACTGAACTGCTGGTCATTATACATGTTCATTTTAGCCATGACATTTCCACTTAAAGATGACATGAGAATATGAATCAGCGTTTTATTTACCAAAATTAACCATGATCTAATAATCTGACTGGCAGGTTGATAGTGCCAAAGTGCAGGATGCTGGCAGATATACCTGTGAAGCCACAAATGTTGCTGGAAAAACAGAAAAGAACTATAACGTCAATATTTGGGGTATGTTTTTCTTCATTTTCACCTGCAATAGTTTGTGTCATTATCATTTAATTGATTTTCAGCTTTATGTGGAGTTAGCATCTTGCACAGATTGACCATAATATGTTATTTTCCAACTGACCTGCAGTCAGAATATTTGTTCTCCAGTTCAATTGACCTCAGCATAATCTTTTTAGACAATCACGAGATTTCAGTGCCTCCTTTTGTTGTCATACTGTCATTGCAGTTTCTCCCAGCATCCGCGGCTCAGATGAGGCGTCTCCCCTTACCGTGATTGAGGGAAGCCTTATCACATTGGTATGTGAGTCCAGTGGCATTCCACCACCTAACCTGACATGGAGAAAGGAAGGTAAATGTTCCTGTTTATAAGGGATGTAGACACAATAGATTGCAATCATTGCATGTAAACTATATGGATGGAACATTTGAGCACAGTAACTTTCTTGTAGGTTCTGAACTCAAGTCAGACCAGCGTGTAAAGGTTCTGTCAGGAGGCCGTCAGCTGCACATCTCCAGAGCCGAGAAGACAGATACAGCCTCTTACACATGCACAGCCTCCAGCCCAGCCGGCACAACCTCCAAAGAGTACAACCTGCAGGTTTATGGTACATATGCAACCCTTAATCATCTACTGATTGAAACCTATGTTTTTATTTCTAGACAGCAAATCAACTAGCAATTGTGCTGTCAGGGAAATCTGACACACACACATTCGGGACAAAACATTAGTTGGGTTTATTATAGATTCGTCTTAAGAACTGAAAGTTTTTATAATATATTTGATTGCAAGACTGAATATGCTTTATCTATAAAGTTTAAGCCTATACAACATGTCATAATGTTAAAACATTGACAATACAGTTTATACTTGGACTGAGATGCTATTTTGCCTCTTGAATGAAAGGAAGCTCTCTGTCTATTTTTGCTGTAGTTCGCCCTTCCATCAGGCGCAGTGAAGGCGATGTTGATGATGTTACGGTGACCAAAGGGGGTGATGTGACACTACAGTGTGCTGCTGAGGGCGTACCAAGACCTGCAGTCACGTGGTTGAAGGATGGACGCCCAATCACAGGCCAGCACGGAGCAAAAGTCCTGGACGAGGGGAGGTTGTTACAGATAAAAAATGCTAAGGTGTCAGATACAGGACGGTACACCTGTATCGCTGTTAACGTGGCGGGACAGGCCGACATCAAGCATGACATCAGTGTGCACGGTATGGATTTGTGTGAAATGGTCTCACACCAAAAGTTTCAAATATGCGAGCTAAAATTGTCCGACTTTTGATTTTCATTCATTTTCTTTGCTCAGTGCCACCTAGTATAATCGGTCAGATGCAGTTTCCAGAAAATGTGAGTGTCGTAGTGAAGAATCCTGTCGCTCTGAGCTGCGAATCTTCTGGCATACCCCTTCCTGCCGTTTCCTGGCTAAAGGATGGTCAACCAGTTAAGGCAACTAGCTCAGTGCGCATCCTCTCAGGTCAGTTTCTGTTTGAAAAAGAAGCAGGCAGTTTGATTGTTCTGACTCAACAAAGCACTGAGGGAGGCGGATGTACTTTTAAATCTCATTAAACTGATGTTAAGTGTTTTATCGGCTGTATACTTCTAATTTAAAATTCTAAAACACAGTTTCAATTGAATTACAGTTTTTGACCTTTTTACCTGTAGGTGGGAGGAGTCTTCGTCTCTTGCATGCCGCAGTAGAGGATGCGGGGAGGTACACATGTGTCGTTTCTAACAGCGCAGGAGAAGAAAGGAAAGACTTTGACCTCAACATCTTTGGTAACGAAGCAGTAAATTTCTAGTTCTGTCGTATAGTGTTGTTTTCGATCAAATTCAAAAGAGATACAATGACCAGTGAAAGTCAGTGAGAACCGTTCAAATGTTTTGACAGTTCCACCGAGTGTTGTGGCGGAGGGAACAGTTGTGGATTCTAAAGTAAAAGAGAAACACAACATCACTCTAACCTGCGAAGCAACAGGTAAATTCCATGGTCTACTAATGAGTTCAGTTCCATTTTAAGTTATTGTCTTGAATTTGCAATTCTTTTAACTTCTCAAACATGTTTCCAGGCAACCCAGCACCAGAGATTAAATGGCTGAAGGATGGACAGCTGTTGTTACCTGACCAGCGCCACCAAGTGTTGTCTCATGGTCGCTTTCTACAAATCTCTGAGGCCCAAGTTTCAGATACGGGCAGGTACAGCTGCCTGGCGTCTAACAGTGCAGGAGACCGCAGCCGCCATTTCAATCTCAATGTCCTGGGTACAATTACAACTCCAACTAATCTGCCTGGAAATGGTTTAGAAATTAAACAAGCAACATTAGTTGAAAAGCATTCATATCTCATGTGTCTTCCTGCCCTTTTCATATGCCAGTTTCACCCACTATTGCTGGATCTGGTCCTGACAATTCTGCTGAGGAGGTTACGGTAACGCTGAGCAGCCCCACCTCACTGGTGTGTGAAGTCCAGTCTTATCCTCCTGCTCTGATCACTTGGCTCAAGGATGGCACTCCGTTCGAATCCACTCGCAATGTCCGAGTCCTGCCAGGTTTGACATCACACGCACCAACAAGAGACTCTTCAAATTACATTAGAAGAGCACGGTATATTTTTGTTCCTTCCTTTACAGGAGGGAGGACGCTTCAGATTCTTACTGCTAAAGAGGAGGATGCTGGAAGGTACACCTGTGTGGCTACAAATGAGGCTGGAGAGACACTAAAACATTATGAGGTCAAGGTTTATGGTGAGACTCCTATATCTATGAAAGCATGATTTTGTCTTCAGATTTTGACCAATAACTTTTTTGACTTGAGAAAACATGCTAAATTTATCAATGTCAGCTCAAAAATATTTTTCACTTAAGTTCCACCCCAGATCAATAAGAATGATATTCCTGGTGAGGGACTGGTCCCAAAAGAGGTCAAGATCAAGATCAACAGTACACTGACCCTGGAGTGTGAAGCTCAAGCCTTTCCTACCCCAGCACTGCAGTGGTATAAAGACGGCCAGGTAGGAGTTAAGAGCACTGCTCTTAATTGTGCTTTTTTATAAACAAAATGCTAATAAAGCCTTCCGAAACACATTTTCCATAGATCCTGCAGCCAGATGACCATGTGTCCATTACAGCCAATGGACGCACTGTTCAGATCAAGCATGCACAGGTGTCAGACACCGGCCGCTACACGTGTGTAGCCACCAACATAGCCGGAGAGGATGAGAAGGACTTTGATGTAAATATACAAGGTGAACTGGGTGGACTGATGCTCACGGGTTAACTGAAACTAACACCTAGAACTACACACACTATCTTCCCAGGAATACATCCAGAAGCATGAGTTTACTTGTGTTTCAAATCTCATAACTAAACTAACTAACTTAGTTTTTTTTTAAAGCAGGGTTAAAATATCTTTCCCTTCTTTTCAGTTCCGCCTCATTTTAACAGGCCTGGCGGAGTTGGTGATACAACGTTGCACTCAGGCTTTGGAGAAGATGCACGAGATGTGATACTTAACAATCCCATTTCTCTGTACTGTGAGACAAATGCTGTACCCCCACCAACACTCACCTGGTACAAAGATGGACACCTTTTAACATCGAACGACAAAGTTTTGATCTTACCAGGTGAGACAGATTAAGAAAACCAAGAGAAAGCTATGAAACAGGACAGAAGTTCATAGCAGCCCTGACTGTTTCATTTTTCAGGTGGGCGAGTCTTACAGATTCCCCGAGCCCAGACTGAAGATTCGGGCAGGTACACTTGTGTTGCCATCAATGAAGCAGGAGAGGACTCCATCCAGTATGATGTTAGAGTGCTGTGTGAGTTTCTTTGATGAGTTTAACTGTCCCGGGGGATAGTCTTTTTAAATTGCGCCACTTATGATGTTTAATGTCTGTCCTGGATCAGTACCACCGACCATACGCAGAACAGACAGCGACATGCCTGATGAAGTCACTGTCCTGGTAAACAAAACCACTCAACTGGATTGTCATGCGGATGGAAACCCCACGCCAAAGATCAGCTGGTTTAAGGACAGCCAGTTACTCACCTCTCAAGGTCCATATAGGATTTTGTCCAATGGACGAACACTTCAGGTAATAACCAGTAAACACGGGCTAATTAGGATGGTTTCAACAGTAATTGTTTATTAATACAGTGTGGAAATACAGATACATACCATGCACTAAACACAATAATTGAACATTTGTATTTTCATGTATATATTATTAGTTATTTGTTTATGTTTTTAGTTTTTTGCTGTCCTTCACAATGTTTTATGTTTTGAATAAATCCCTCAGAATTATCTGTGAATATTGTGTCTGTGTTTAACATACGCTTATTTCTATATATATATATATATATATATATATTTCTTCAATCAGGTGTTGAGTGCTCAGGTATCTGATACAGGACGCTATGTTTGTGAGGCTGACAATGCGGCTGGAAGTGCAGAAAAACACTTTAATCTTAATGTTAATGGTGAGTTATTCAGAGATATATTCATTCATATTGAAAGATTTAGTTTACCTGTAAGATACTTCTTGCTATTTTGAATAATGCTTCTTTTCTACCTCACAGTGCCTCCCACTATAATTGGTGTGACTCCAGAAAATATGACAGTCGTGGTGAACAACTTTGTGTCCCTCTCTTGTGAGGCCACTGGCCTCCCCCGGCCCTCACTGAGCTGGCTAACTGATAAGGGTCCTGTCCGTGCTAACTCTAATATGCTCATCATGCCAGGTACTGATAGAAGCTGTTAATCTTCAATTTACTTTAAAGGTACAATTTAAAGATTAAATGTTAGCCTCTAGGAAACATGTGTCAGCCATTGAGACCACTTTACATAGAACAAGATGCTAGATGTTAATATAATCTCTAAATTGCAGAGCTGATAAATTAAATAACAAAGATTTTGATTGTGTCCCTTCATTTTTGCCTTCAGGTGGTCGCACTTTACAGATTCTTAAAGCAAAAGTGTCAGATGGGGGAAAGTACAGCTGTGTGGCCATGAATGCAGCAGGAGAGGCTTACAAACACATCTATCTCACTGTATTTGGTCAGTTCACATATTCATTTATCTAAAAGCTTCAGACTTCCAGACCATCTTTTATCAGTTTCTCTTTAATCTGTCCTGCAGTTCCTCCCATTATCCGAGGAAACAGCAAAGACTCTCCCGTGGTGGTTAATGTGCTGGTTGGCAAACAAGTAACTCTGGAGTGTGAGTCCAATGCCATCCCCCCTCCAACCATCACCTGGTACAAGAATGGCCGAGCGGTAACCGAATCTGCCAACCTGCACATTCTGGCAGAGGGACGGATCCTTGAGATCAGAGGCGCCGAGGTGCGTGATATCATGTTATTTGTTTTTATTTACATACCAAGTAGTTACAGATAAATTCTACTTTAAAACATTTTGTTCTTCAATATTTTTTTCAGGTATCTGATACAGGACAGTATGTTTGCATGGCCACCAATGTTGCTGGACAAGTGGACAAGAACTTCCACTTGAACATCCATGGTTGAATATAAAAAATATTTATTTTCAAATCTGAAAATTCCTAAAACACGCCTTCGAAGCAAGCATTTCTGCACTGAGAAAACTGAAGAGATTTCTCCCTCTCTAGTTCCTCCTAGTATCGATGGTCCGTCCGAGGAGAATGTTGTGGAAACCATCAGTAACCCAATTTCTTTTGCTTGCGATGCTACTGGAATCCCCCCGCCCAGTCTCACGTGGCTTAAAAATGGACGTGCCATAGGTAGCCCCATATTCTAATGATGATAATGCTACAGATTGATTTGTATTATTTGGCAACAGATAAAACCATATCTTAAATCAAGACTGGTCACTAAGTTTCTCTGAACATCAGAACTCACATCAAAGGTTAAATGAAATATTAGCACTAGATTTCTCACGGCAAATTATTTCAATTCTGCAGATTTTAGACAAAAAACTTTAAGATTTCGGAGAAACAAACTGGACAACTTACAGTTTTATCATAAAAGAAGTTACGAATACTTTGAGCCAGAAGATATTAAGTAAATAAGACAACGTATGAGATTATTACAATACATTGAATACTTTGCAAACACCTGTAACACAAGTAAACAGAGAACAGTTGATTTATTTGTTATAAATAAGCTGACACACAGAAAAAGCTCAAGTATGCAGAATCATTGAAAAGTTCATATTAGAGTTGTGGGGGTGTAATAAGCTAAAGGGACAAATCTATAATTGGAATTATCATTTTAATTCCAAAATAACCTATCATAATTCAAGCCATAACCTCTTTATATACTCAATCAGTGGTCAGCAGCTCAATAGAAACTCAGCGAAGTGGATTTGAGTTTGTCATATTATTTGTAAAATATGTCAACTTTGTTTCCTTTCTAGAGAACTCAGACTCGTTGGAGATGCACATCTTCTCAGGGGGCAATAAACTACAGATTGCGCGGCTTCAGCTCTCTGACAGGGGCACTTTTACATGTGTGGCCTCTAACATAGAGGGAAAAGCACAGAAGAGCTATCATCTCAGCATACAGGGTACATGCATATCACTGAATATTTGTTCATTCTTTTCTAGCTTACTTTGTTTATGCCTTCACAAGATCACACAGGATGGAAACTGTAACTTACTGTATAGACCAAACCCATTTATTATGATAGCCCAAACATTTCTACCATCATCCACTTATTTGCCACTAACCACCAATTCTCTCTCAGTACCACCTAGTATCTCTGGATCCGAGATGCCCAGTGAGATGGGAGTCCTGCTAAATAAAAGTATCCAACTGGTCTGCCAAGCTCAGGGAACACCTACCCCAAGGATCCAGTGGCTGAAGGATGGAGAAGTCATCGACATGGGAAGCAAAGGCTTAAGGTTCAGACATTTCTGTTTCTAATGTAATAAAAACAATCTGAGATTGGCTAAATTAATACATATGTCTGATTAAAGATTGGAAGCATCATTAGAAATACAGAAATATCTCATATGTAACAGCAGCTAATGCATATCAACAACATACAAAGCAATATAACAGTCTGACACTGAGATGAAAGCAATCTGAAAAGTTACCTGAAAGGCATTTCTGATAAGGCATACTTAGTATATTTATGCACAGTGTCAGCCCTGAGGGCAACATGCTGACTGTGGCCAGAGCTCAACCTGCGGATAGTGGAAAATACACCTGTGTGGCCACCAACCAAGCTGGAGAAGAGGACAGAATTTTTAATCTGAATGTGTATGGTGGGTTTAATTCTTTGCTCATATTGATAATCCAGTAATGATGAACTCTTGTTCTTTCTTAATTATGACCAAATCTATTTTGTTTCCCTCTCGGTGTTGCTTTCCATTTGCAAACACAGTTCCTCCTGTAATACTCGGCAACACTGAGGCTTCTTTGGATCTGACAACTGTTCTTGACAATTCTGTCAACATTGAATGCATAGCCACTGGGTCTCCTCTGCCGCAGCTAAACTGGCTGAGGAACGGTCTGCCTCTTCCAGTCTCCTCCAACATACAGCTCCTCTCTGCTGGACAGGTGCTCCGGTAGGTCAGTGGATGAGAGGAGCAGTGAAAGTTAGGGTCAAGCTTTTCATTCGTTACATAAAATAACAAATGAGAATATTGTTCACTCTGCCATGAGCTGCTATCTTTGTGAAGATCGTTTTCTGATATATTTTGTCTTTACAAAGTGTGTATTAATCTGCTTTTCCCAAACTGAGAAATATCATGCTGCCACATTTGCAGATTAATCTTTAAAATACTGTTGCTTGGGTTTTGATCAGTGAGAAATTGCAACATTAAATCTATCAGGATCACACGGATCCAGGTTTCTGATAGTGGAAGCTACACCTGCGTGGCCTCAAACAGGGCGGGAGTGGACAACAGACATTACAACCTACATGTTCATGGTGAGTCTATGGGAGATGGCATGGCAGATCCCCAATCTGACTGACACAGCAGATGCTAATGAGTCCTGAAACGACTCTTTCTTTCAGTTCCTCCTGGTTTGGATGAAGCTGGAAGCACGGGGGATGTGACCGTGGTCAAAGGAAACTCGGCTTCTCTGTTGTGCATAGCTGATGGCACACCAACCCCAACTACTTCCTGGCTTAAAGACGGACTGACTCTAGTCCCTGACCACAACCTCATTCTTCTCAACCTGAATACCACCTTACAAATTAGACAGGCCCGGGTCAACGACACAGGACGCTACACCTGCATAGCCAGCAACGCTGCTGGTCAAGCAAGCCGTCACTTCAATCTAAAAGTTCTTAGTAAGTGCACAATTATAGTTGTGACACTCTTTTATTTTCTGATTCAAGAACCCAAAACACATATTTCACTTGGCCATTTTCAGACCCTCCACACATTAAAGGATCCGACATGACATCAGAAGTATCTGTGGTGGTAAATAACGTTCTGGAGCTCAAGTGTGAGGCCACAGGTGTCCCTCCACCCTCTCTGACCTGGTTGAAGGATGGACGCCCACTCCTGCAGACGGACAGCCTCCGACTCTTACGTGGAGGAGAGGTTCTCCGTGTGGCCACTGTACAGGTTAGTCACCTGAGACCACTATGGCGAAATATTCATAATACTGTATAATGTTGTTTGATATTTTTACAGCTTCCTATGGAATGTTAACACCATTCACTCATTAGACAGAATAGCAATGCAAACATTTTCCTTTACACTTATACTCACATTTTTCCACACTCAGCTGGAGGACACAGGCAGATACAGCTGCTTAGCCAACAGTCCTGCTGGAGATGATGACAAGGAGTTCCTTGTTCGGGTGCATGGTGAGTAAGAAAGGGATGTGATACTTTTTACTTCATGCAGGGTACGTAATTTGAATTTAATCTACAACTCCATTCCCAAAAGAAATTGATATACTGTGGAAAATGTAAATAACAACAGCTTGCAATGATTTGTTGTTTTTAACTTAATTTAAGATAACATTGTGTGGATAGTAACATTTTTTTCTGGTGACTGCCACTCCAGTTCCGCCTAACATTGCGGGAGACAGCACCCCTCAGGATGTGTCAGTCCTGCAGAACAGACAGGTAACACTGGAGTGCAAATCTGATGCTGTTCCACCTCCAACTCTGACATGGCTCAAAGATGCCAAACCACTGCAGGTCAGTTCCGGGCAAAAATACCAAATTACGAGCACGATATTACCACCATTCCTACCTTATATTTGTACATGCTTGTTGTCCATTTTGCAGGCCTCTGCTCGTGTGCGTGTCCTGTCTAGTGGTCGCTACTTACAAATCAACATGGCAGAGCTCAGCGACAGGGCTCAGTACACCTGTGTTGCAAGTAACATTGCTGGCAACACCACGAGGCAGTTTAACCTGACTGTCAATGGTATAGTTACTACTGTATATATGTAACATAGACAGACTTCCTCACAGGGAAGCTTAAAAATGGACCAACCTTTTAAGAATTATATTGATTGACATGAATTGACCATAAAGGAAACCATTAGAAAAGCATTTCAATATGAACATATGTCCCCGCAGTGGCTCCAGCTATCAAGGACGGCTCCCAGACGGTGTCAGTGCATGTTGACAAACCTGCAGTGCTTGAGTGTGTAGTTAGCGGAGTGCCACCACCTCGTGTCACCTGGAGGAAGAATGGGGTCATACTGGCAGGAAACACCCAAAGGCAAATCACATCACATTTATGATAAAGTCTCTTTGTTCTGAATGTTCTAAATCAGTATTTTTTTCAACATTTTTACAGCATTTTTAAAAATATTGGTTTGTTCTTACTTCTAAAATTGTGCACAGGTACACATTTGCAGAGGAAGGGTCTTTAAACATCTACTCTGCTCAAGTAACTGATACTGGACGATACCTGTGTATGGCAACAAATCAGGCTGGGACTCAGCGCAAGAGAGTAGACCTGCAGGTGTATGGTGTGTAGAAAATATGCAGAAACTGAGTTAACCCACATAGTCATGTAATTGATTCATGATCCTTGCTTTTTATCTTTAGTGCCTCCGTCCATCGCTGATAGTCACACCAATGTGACCGTTATTGTCAACGTGCAAACCACCTTATTTTGTGAGGCCACTGGCATTCCCAAACCCACCGTCAGCTGGCAGAAAAATGGTCGGATCATCAATACTGACCAGAATCAGAATATGTACAGGTTGATCCAGGTTTTCTCCCTGTTTATTTAATTTAAGACAAAAAATGTAAAAAGTTTGAGCAGAGAAAAAGCAGAAAATTGAATGCTTATATCATGAAAAATAAGTTAATCTTTGATCATTGAGTATTTGTGTAGTAGGAAAACTGTAGGCAGTACATGTTGTAAAACTTTTTGTTAAAGCAAACTTGACCTTTTTTTCATGATTTCCAGATTACTATCATCAGGCTCCTTGGTTATTATAGCCCCTTCAGTGGAGGATACAGCAGTGTACAGATGTGTGGTCTCTAATGAGGCAGGCAGTGACGACAGATCCATCAATCTCACTGTAATCGGTAACAGGACTGAAATTAATCAATGACAAGCTCTTTTTTTGTTCCACATTATAACTTATCTTTCTGTATCTGTCCCCCTAGTTCCTCCATCAATAGCAGATGAACCCACAGAGTTGGTCGTCAGCAGACTGTCACCAGTGGTCATTGCTTGTACTGCATCTGGAGTTCCTCAGCCCACAATCCACTGGAGCAAAGACGGAATGCCCCTACCCAATAAGGGACAGGGATACAGCATCTTACCAACAGGTCAAGATTACATTCATGCAAATCATAGTTCTATTATATTTCTAAATATATGACTCTGTCATATTTTAAATGTAGTTCTACACAACAGGTTATTTTGAAATTGCTGTGTAAGTAGTGGATATATGGACTTGGTTAACTGAGGTTAAAGCTGCCATTTGTGTGTGTTTTTATCTGCGCTTAGGTCCAGTAGAGATCACATCTGCTGAGCTCAGTCATGATGGCCGCTATTCATGTACAGCAAAGAATATTGCAGGCTCCACCCACCGCCAAGTACAGCTCACTGTCCAGGGTAAAAGCTTCCTAACTTCCATTATATCAATTAAGATTTTCTGTTGGAAAAAAGGCTCATGCCATATTTCTTTTCAGTAAAAGACACATAATTTAGATCTGGAATCTCGTAAATGTTGTTTATTTGGGAGAAGTCGATTGAACAGACTTTGGTTTTAGGGCCATTTCCTTTATTTGTCCTCACCTCAACTTATTGGGTTATTTTCAGTATGAGCTCATATAAAATGACTGAGCATCCTAAATTACTCCTAACACAGTGAATTGTTTTTTTAAAGGCTCACATCATTTGTAAGGTCCCTATCCTTTGTGTCCTCAGAACTCCCAGTGATCCAGACCCATCCATCCAGCCTTGATGTGATCATCAATAACCTCATCACTTTGCCCTGCAGAGCCACAGGCTCACCCAGACCCACGATTACCTGGCAAAAAGAGGGCATCAACATACTAACAACTGGTGATTATCCCGTGTATTTGTAAATGAACAATCACCTGCAATCAGTAATGACAAAGTTTCTCTTGCTTCGCGGTAGGTGGTACTTTTACAGTACTGCCCGATGGAAGTCTGCAGATATCCAAGGCGTCTTTGTCAGACTCTGGGACGTACATGTGTGTGGCTCAAAATCCCGCAGGCACTGCACTGGGCAAGACCAAGCTCAGAGTGCAAGGTAAGTGACAAACTTGGCAAATTGATTTTGTTGGTTGATTGAAGAGATAAAAGAATGCTGTACAAAAAAAAGAAAAAGTGAATTAGGCATTACATGTCTCTGGCCAGATTAAATTATCTGGACATTTATTGAACACTTAGTCATTTATAACACATTATTCATTTCGTAATGTGGTCAATGAGTACAGTTCATATATTTTTACCTCACCGACTCTGTCCTCAGTTCCTCCAGTGATCCGTTCAGAGACTCGGGAGTATGTGGCGCCTGTGGACAACTCTGTGATGCTGCAGTGTTTAACCGAGGGCTCCCCTTCTCCCTCCGTCACATGGTACAAAGATGGGCAAATGCTGAGTGATTCTTTACGTCAGCGGGTGCTCAGCTCAGGATCTCTGCAGATAGCCTTCATTCAGCCCACCGATGCTGGACGATACACTTGCACTGCTGCCAATGCAGCAGGCACCGTCAGCTTGGACATGAGCCTCACTGTACAGAGTAGGTGGTTGCTATTTCAGTCATCTGAACATCACTATTCAGTAACGAATTTATAGTGCCTGCACTTGTTTCATAGTCTGGTTGTTAAAAAAAAAAGTTTGATTTGAACTAAAAAGGTGGCCCGTCTATATCCCTGCCACTGTTGTAACGTATTATACCTTATATTGATTTCTTACATTTTTTTCACTGAACATTTCCTTTTTCATGCATAAGAAATACCTAATAAATTTCTATTCATGGTATTGCAAAAACTTTGTGTAAGTAGGGACTTGTTCTGCAAATCAACTTTCAATATTCAAAACTACAATAATTGTGTTGTAAGGTGGCTTTCTTCACACAGTTACAATTTCTTTCTATTTTTGCATACAACAGCATTTAAGAATTTAATGTTCTTCAAATGATTAAAAGCTATTCTGGCCTAGATGCACAAAACAGTCACAAACCACCACAAGTCAAGGTTTCTTGTGCTGTATAACATAGCTAACGAACTAACTAACATACCACAATGTAATTACAAGAATTACAATGCAAATCTTTTAGATGTAAAGAAGAATAAGGGAGGAAAGAGAGGAAAACAAGAGTTATATTAACTTTTTGTATCCATTTTTCCCAGTTCCTCCCTCCATTCGCGGTGGAGAGCAGGAGGTTGTGGCAGTGGAAAGCGGTCATGTGCAGCTCTTGTGTGTGGCTGAGGGCATTCCACAGCCCACACTGAGCTGGGAAAAAGATGGGAATCCTCTCAGTGAAATCATGGGGGAGTACACGATCCTTCCATCTGGGGAGCTGGCTATTGACAGTGCTCAGGTACTAAAAGAAATGGACAGAGTAGATAATTCAATCTTATTACGTGTTTTCTTCCTGTTATGTGTATGACGTAGCTCGGTTATGTAAATACCATGAGTTCAAATCTTCTTTCCTTTTCTTTAAAACTCTCTCTCTCTGCCGTAGCCTGATGATGCCGGCAGTTATACCTGCATTGCCACTAATTCAGTCGGGCAGGACAGTTGGACCGTTGCTCTGTCAGTTCACACTCACCCTGTTTTCACTGAGCTACTTGAAGATGTGGCCCTCAACAAGGGTGACCGGCTTGTACTGGCCTGTGCTGCCATTGGCATCCCCTTACCCAGAATCACATGGACCTTCAACAACAACATCATCCCAGGTTTTGCTTGATTAAGAAATATTTAGTTTGCCAGGAAACATTCTCATATTATTGTTCTGGTGCTTTTCTTTAAGTCTTCCATTCTTTGAAGTATATATTTTTTCTCCTGTTTATCCACCTATTCTTGCTGAAGTTCACTACGATCATTTGAACGATCACAGTGAGCTGGTGATTGAGAGAGTAAACAAAGACGACTCTGGTACCTACACCTGTGTGGCGCAAAACAGTGTTGGAACACTCAAGTCTTTGGGCTATATCTATGTAAAAGGTTAAACCACACTCCCCTGAAACATTCTGATTCTCCTCCATCTCACATTTTCTGCTCTCAGCACGATTAACCTCTCTGTACTTCAGAGCCTCCAATCATTGACGGTGACCTCCACTCCAACCGTATTGAGCCTCTGGGGGGTAATGCTATCCTAAACTGTGAGGTACGAGGGGACCCGCTGCCGAAAATTCAGTGGACCAAAAATGGAATAAACATCCAGATCAGCAACCGAATCCGTCAACTTAATAATGGCTCTCTGGCCATCTACGGCACAGTGGTAGGAAAACACAACACATTTAGACCTCACTTAACTGCTATTTGTTAAATATGCTAATTTTAAAAAGAATATGATGATAATGATAAATATTAGGTCTGTGATATATATCTGTGATATGGCTCAGTGGCTTAAGCTGCATTTAATGCAAACACATGTATCATTTCACTATTTCCACTTTTCAATTACGCTGCACGTGACAGAGTGAAGACGCAGGAAACTACATGTGTGTAGCAACAAACGATGCTGGTGTGGTTGAAAGAAGTGTCAGCCTTACTCTACAGAGTAAGTTTTTACCTGTGTCAATCTACTTAACTTTTATTTATTTATTTTTTGCACATCCTTTTCAATACAGACGTTTACATCAGAGTGCTTTACATACAACAGGAAAAGGCACAAACATAGAACAGAAACTGAGATAACTGAGATAAAAAAGTTTAAGGCAACCCAAAATGATCCAATTCAGATTTGTCTTTATTTCACTTTGCATCCTGAACCCAAAGTAAAAAGTCGGTTCCTCCTATTTTCCCTCTGGAACCTTTTGGGACCACAAGCACACCAGCCTTTTGAGAGTAAAGTCCCACTGAGAAAACAGGGGGCTGTGGTCCTTCAGGTAGTGCAGAAATTGTTCATCAGTGAGGAGGATTTTGAAACCGAATCGGAATCTTAAAAGAAAATAGAGAAGAAATACTGATATGGGATAAATATAGTCTCTCTTGCTCCTTCCTGCTTTTCCTGCCTCTGCATCTTGAATTAACTCAAAATTTCTAACAGAAATGTTAAAATGCCCCTATGGTAATGAGTTACAGAACTCCAGCCAACAAGTTAAACATTCATACACTTTAGCATTTTTTTAAGTGAATGTTTAATCTGAGAGAAACATCCTGTTCTGCTAGGTGCACCCACGATTGTTGTGGAGCCAGTTGGAACTGTAGTGGATGCAGGCTCCACGGTTGTACTGAACTGTCAGGCGGAGGGCGAGCCTGCACCCATGATAGAGTGGTCCCACCAGGGACGCCGCCTCCGGGCCAACCAGCGCTTCTCCGTTTTGTCCAACGGTTCCCTGAAGATCAGCAGTGCCCAGAAGGAGGACACGGCTGAATATGAATGTGTGGCCAGAAACCTGCTTGGATCAGTGCTGGTCAGGGTCTCCCTCACTGTACGGGGTGAGCTGCAGATTTTGGCTTCTGATTATCCCAGACTGTGACCTTAAAAGAAGTTGATTTTAGTATCTTTATAATCAATAAAATAGTAAACAAATGCCTATAAACTATTTATACTGACCAGATGCCATATAATATTTCATTGATTTGTGCTGTAGTCCATGGAGGGTACTCAGAGTGGACAGAATGGAGCCCCTGTAGTGTATCCTGTGGTGCAGGAGTTCAGAAGAGGTTAAGGGAGTGTAACAATCCTTTACCCGCCAACGGAGGACGTCACTGCTCAGGATCAGATACAGAAAGGCGCAGCTGTCTGGCAAAGCCATGTCCAGGTGAGAGTCAGGGGTATATAAATATACAGGGGTGTAGTATTTATTTTTTAAATATTTCTCTTGTAAAACCGTCTCAAATGTTCACTTGTTATCATAGTCTGTTTCTTTTTCCCCCTACAGTGGACGGTCACTGGTCTGAGTGGTCTCCATGGGAGGAGTGTTCACGCACTTGTGATCAGGGTAACAGAACCAGGACCCGGACCTGCAGTAACCCTCCAGCTCAGAATGGAGGGAGGACATGTGAGGGAAAGGCAGTGGAGGTCATCATGTGCAGTGTCAGACCTTGTCCATGTGAGAATATATATTTTCTGCAAATGAAGCCTTGAACTATCCGTTTTACATTTTTATTGAGGGAACTTTTTTTGCTGCTGCTCTCATAGTGGCGGGTAACTGGGGATCTTGGCTGCAATGGAGCCCGTGCAGTGAGACGTGCGGTAAGGGCATGCAGTCCAGGATCCGGCTATGCAATAACCCCCCTCCAGCGTTTGATGGGCCGCAGTGTGAGGGCACAGACACCCAGTCACAAATCTGCAAGGAGAGACCTTGTCCTGGTAAAGGCTGGAATATATTTAGAGAAAATCAAATATGTTCCCAGTTACAAGAAACAAGAAAGTAGCTGTTTTTAATGCAATAAAACAAAACAAATCTCTGGTTCTTTTTGTCATGTTTCATCCAGTGGATGGCAAGTGGTCGTCATGGATGAACTGGGGAGCCTGCACTGTTTCCTGTGGGGGTGGCACTAGGCAGCGTGCACGCCTCTGTGCTAGTCCTGCTCCTCAGCATGGTGGCAGGAAGTGCGAGGGTAATGATGTGCTCGTAGATTTCTGCAACAATGATCCCTGTCCCGGTAAGTGCTCTCACTTTTTTTTTTTATTATTATTTTTGACAGAAAATAACTCACATCCTCCCTTTTTATTCTCCACATTTGCAAACCTCCTCATCCTTCTATTTGCATCAGTTCATGGTAATTGGGGTCCATGGAACGGCTGGGGCAGCTGCAGTAAGACATGCGACGGAGGGCAAATGAGGCGCTACCGGAGCTGTGACAACCCCAGGCCTGCATATGGTGGGAGGGAGTGTGCAGGTGCTGATACACAGATACAAAGATGCAGCACAGACAACTGCCCAGGTGAGTCTGAGTCACCATGTTTATACTAGCTTTTGGCTTTGGGGTTAGAGAAACTTGAATATGTGCCTAAAATGCAGCTTAATGTTTGGCGTTATATTGCAGTTGATGGAAACTGGGGTTTATGGCAGCCATGGGGGGAATGTTCCTCATCTTGTGGAGGCGGACAGAAGACACGTGTACGGCTCTGTAACAGTCCATCTCCAAGTAAAGGTGGCCAGTCGTGTCCCGGAGACTCCACTCAACTCTCCAGGTGTAATACTCAGGCGTGCCCAGGTCAGTTACTCATACACTCCCCTTACATTCTCAGGCATGCATGTGCAAAAATCTTTGTGGCTCCTTGATGCATTAATACTTTTATTCCCTCTGTCTTTACCAGGTGGGCCACAACAGGCAAGAGGAAGCATCTTAGGAAACATCAATAATATTGAGTTTGGTATTGCTATCCTTAATGCCACCATCACTGACAGCCAGTCTGGAAGTAGGATCATAAAAGCCACTATTTCTAATGTACCAAGGGCATTAGGTCAGTTTCATACATCCGGCCCATTATACAAAAATAAGTGGTAACATTAATATTTTGTCTTAAGAATACAATTATAACTTTTAAATTCTAGGTCCAGCGATGAGGAAGCTTATTTCTATCCTAAACCCTATCTATTGGACCACTGCACGGGAAGTTGGGGGGGCTTCCAATGGCTATACACTAACTGGAGGTATCTTCAGGCGTGAGACGCAGGTGGAGTTTGCCACAGGTAAAAAAGCTTGAAGAAAGCCCATTGAATACTTAAATCTTAAGACATTTCACATTTGGGAAGTGGGGTGACTAACGTGATGCAATTGGATGCTACCAGGTGAAATCTTGAGGATGATCCACACAGCCAGGGGCCTGGATTCTGATGGAGCACTGCTAGTTGACATTATTGTTAATGGGCACATCCTACAGCTGCCTTCACAAGCGGAGATGAGCATCAAGGTACACAGATAATATGTGGAAATAATTCCGGAAATAATTCCAGTTTGGTACATTTATCTCACTCTATGCATGGAAAAGGACAACTGGCAAAGTGACAGTTTCTTTTTTTTGTATTCTATCTGTAGAGTTTTACATTTTCATTTTGTTGGCCTTTATTGTGTTGTTTTCAACACTTCAGAAAGGTTTATATTTACAGTTTGGTACTCTAAATACATACATATCCAATAATGCATTTTTTAGGACATTTGTAATCACCAAATCTATTTGGGGGGATTTTTATGCTAGGTAAAAGGTAGAATCAATCAAATAACACTTAGCTGCATCTAACTAATCAGTTAAAATGATCATGCAGTGCTGTCAATTAACACCATCTTTTTCTCCTCTTTTTTTTGGTTCAGCATAATTTGGGGACTTAGTCCAAACGTTACCACACAACTTCCTGATATGCACTTTGTGATCTTTCAGGACTACACTGAGGATTATATTCAGACTGGCCCAGGTCAGCTGTATGCTCTGTCCACTCGTATGTTCACCGTTGACAGGGAGAGTGTTCCCTATTCCTGGAACCATACCATCACCTATGATCCAGCCAAAGGGAAGATGCCCTACTTGGTAGAAACACTCCATGCGACAGCCATCAGTGCTCTCTACCACCCAAAGGACGAGGTGTTGGAGTATAGCATCCAGGCTAGCATTACAAAAGGTGCGTTTAGAAATGTTGGAATATTTAAATCTTCTTTGAAAAATTGACCAACCTAGAGATCGTTCAGATTCTTAACTGTGATCTGAAATCAATTTAATATGAAATTTTGTTGACAGGTGATAGAAGTAACCAGTGCCCACATGGCTTCTCTTTGGTGCCTTCCGGGCCTTACTGTGCAGGTAACTACAAATTACAACATACATTTATTGTTTCTGCTTCACTAAGCAAAAATAAGAAGAAAAAAAAACAAGCCATAAGCTGTACGGAAAAGTGATGTTGGTTTATCCTGATATTATCATTAAAATATATACTCTGCAGATGAGAATGAATGTGAGGCTGGGAATCCCTGTTCTCATACCTGCCACAACAGCATGGGTACCTACTACTGCTCCTGTCCCCAAGGACTCACAATCTCTGCTGATGGCCGGACCTGCCAGGGTGAGACACACATAGACACACGTTGCCCCTAAATCTAAATACAAGTCTAATTAGTCATTTCTGTCCCAGACATTGATGAGTGCACACTGGGTGGGAACACATGCCACGATGGACAAGACTGTGAGAACACCATTGGCTCCTACAGATGCGTTATGCGCTGTGGGCGGGGCTTCAGGAGAACAGCGAATGGGCTCAGCTGCACAGGTATTTGAACAGATGTAACTTTTTTTTAAATCTTTGTCTTTATTTAAGTCTGTGAACTGACTTGTAATGTTTTTTTCTGTTACCTAGACGTGAATGAGTGTCAGGAGTCAAGTCCATGTAATCAACACTGCTTGAATACCATTGGCAGCTATCGCTGTGCTTGTGAGCCGGGCTTTCAGCTCAAGAACAGACGGTGCATAGGTGAGTCCATATGTATTACAGCCCACATAATAGCATAAATGCAGCTAGAGTTTCACCATATACCAGTTTTTGAATGCTAAGTACTTTCAAGACATGCCAAGCTTCAATAGTCTACCATCCATCATCATGTTGAATATTTGCAGTGTTTTGGCCACAGGCCATTGCTGTTTAATCTTTGCTATCTTTATTTTTATCATAAATTCTATCAATATTTTCATCGTAGATATAAACGAGTGCAGGCAGAGGGTGTGCCGCTCTGATCAGCAATGCAAAAACACGCGGGGTGGTTACACCTGTATTGACCTTTGCCCCACTGGTATGACCAAAGGTGGTAATGGAACATGTGTAGGTGAGTGGACATGACAAATCTGTTTGCTGGCAGATTCATACATTCTGGGTGGTTGAGCTTTTGTTGGTCTCTTGGAACCTGTTCCAGACATCGATGAGTGCAGAGACGGCAGCCACCAGTGCAGATACAACCAGATCTGTGAGAATACCAGAGGCAGCTACCACTGCACATGTCCACGTGGATTTAGATCACAGGGACTAGGACGGCCTTGTGTTGGTATGCACATCCTTCAAGTCTTCTTCTCATTGTTAGAAATAGTAAAAAATATGTATTCCTATTCATTTGTCAGATGAAATTTTACAATATTCAAAGAGAAATTTTGCTAATCGCCTGTGTGCCGTTCTGTTTTTTGATGGATGTTTGCATAAACATTTTTGTGTCGCTCACTTCCCAACAGCTTGCTTGCTTCTGCCAGCAGATTCCTCTTCTTTGTGAATGAACCCATAAAAATAAAAACACAACTGCTGTGTTCTGGCATGTGGATATCAAAAGCTGGCACTGCTTGCACACATAAATTAACACTGTGCTTAAACTAATCATTAGCATCCTACATCAAACTGCAGCTTTCAATGTAGCAAATTCTTTACACCTCAGAGCTGATGCTGCATTTACTTGTTGATTTCTTAGAGATATGGTTCCAGAGTAGGGTGGGAGGAAGAAAGGTCTCCCTCACCAGTTGGTTCTGCTTATTGTTTCAACTCTTTGGCTGTTCTTCTGCAGCCCATTGTTAATATATTGTGCTGCCATTTTTGTTAATGACCTGCCTCTATTGTATTTTGTTGACACTTATTTAACTTTCACCTGAGTTGTGTCGCTTGGCTTTCCTTTATACATGTTTAATGACCCGCTAGGGATTGCTTAGGGATTGATTAGTTTGTCCCTCCAAATTAGAATCCATGACTCCTCTGCTGCTTTTTCTTTCCCTTAAACAGAAATTGTTTGGCAACTTCAGTAGTATTGAGCAAGTGATGATTAAACAATGATAAAGAATGTCAGATAGAGTTGATCAGAAAACTCAGATGGTCTGATCCTGTGTAAAATATCTGCTTATCGTGCAGTTTTTGTTTAACATGCTTTAAACTTATAAGCAACAACACAATCACATCGATGATGCGTGCAAGAAAAAACACAAAAAGTGAGCGGGTATCGACCACTTGTGATATACTGCTTTTCTGAATTTGAATAATCTGAAGAAGACGGATTTTAATTCAATCAGAGCTCTTGTTTGACATGTTGACCATAAAAAGACCTGAGAAGACCAGCACCTTTTCCTCGCACCTCTATCTGTCCCTGTTACTTCTAACTTTTCTCTCACTCTAATGTGCTTTCTGACACCTGATGTTGCTTTGTTATGGCATACTCCTTTTTTTATCCTGAGATATTAACACTGGACTCTTCTACCTGGTTTCACCTGTCAAGAAAGGATTATTTTGGTTAAAATAAGAAACTGATATTTCTGACATTCTTTTGAAAATAAAATGTGTAATAGATTTAGAACTTTATTTAATTGTATTCAAATGAAGGAAGATATTCCCATCAATCAAGTAATGTATGTCCTTGTGTTGTCTTAATACATTTCTGAAATATGGAAATGTATTGTTATACATTTGAATAATTGACATATTCCCTTCCTCCTCATCTTCTTCCTTTTTCTTCATTTTCATCACCTCATTTGTTCCTGGTATTACTCTTTTAATTTTCCATCTTTGCATTGTATTTGTTCCTTTTCCTCCCTCAAACCTTCCTTTACATCTCCTTATTTCTCTACCTTTTCCTGGTGCTGGTCTTCTTTTGTGCTGAGGGCAGACATAAATGAGTGTGAGCGGCCTCCACAGCCCTGTGCCCACCAGTGCATCAACACCCCTGGCAGCTTCAAGTGCGCCTGCCCGCCAGGGAGCCACCTGCTGGGGGATGGCAAGTCCTGCGCTGGGCTGGAGCGGCTGCCCAGCTATGAAAGTTACTCGTATGGCTACCGAACCTCTCAGTCCTCTCGTGAGCACAGCCCCGGCCAGCGGCTCTACCACAGCCTGGCCTCTCAAAGCTTCCACTCCTACCGAGCCACCGCAAACGGGCACCACAGGAACCGTGGCCGCAGAGAGAGCCGCGAGCGCTCCTCACAGCAGGTCGTCCTCTCTTGTCAGCAGGGCTTTGAGCCCAGGGGTGGCCGCTGCTTAGGTAACTATGGAGGGCGGTCAGAGCCGAGATGAGGGAGAGGACGAGAACTTCAGAGAAAACGCAGCATCTTGTGACTTGTGACAGCAAATGTTGGCTCCCAACTTTAAAAACTTTTTCACATAGAAACATCACTCTGTTTTTTTTTTGTTTTTTTTTCTGTTTTTTTGTATGTGAACCCAACAGACATCAATGAATGCGAACTGAGGGACACCTGCCAACATGAGTGCATGAACACGCCAGGAAGCCACAGATGCCTCTGCCCTGCTGGTTACCGCCTAATGACCAATGGCAAGACATGCCAAGGTGACCCGCGCAGCTACGGCTGTGCTCCCAAACTTACATCGAAAACTATATTTTAGAAAATCCAGCATGTGCTAAATAACTCTGCTGAGCTGTTTGCTGTATCTACAGATGTGGATGAGTGTCTGGAGCAGAACATCCAGTGCGGAGCTAATCAAATGTGCTTCAACATGAGAGGAAGTTACCAGTGCATCGACACGCCCTGTCCACCGAACTACCACAGGGATCCAGCCACAGGGTAAAAAGTCACAGAAATACACTTCCATACCATCAGTTACTGCCAACAGCATCAAGTCATACAAAGAATTAGATGCCATTTCATACTTGGCAACTATTAGTCAATGGCAGCTGTTTTATTCTCTCTGTGTTAAATTAATCTAATAAAAAGGATTGCAGATCAGTGGATCACCTGATAGAAATTAGTATCTGGGACACAAACTATGCTTTCTGGATTTATAAAAATGAGCAAAATCTCAGCATTGTCAGATAATGTATAGTTTTTTATAGTTTTTGTTTTAATTAAACCCATGCACAACAACTCAAAGGCCTGATGTACATTGTGAAATCTTTTAGGCTGCTTTTTAAAAAATAGGATAACCCATGGCAAACATGTAAGCAAACCGTCTTGTTTTGATAGGTTCTGCCTGAAGAACTGCCCACCAAATGATGTGGAGTGCGCCCTCAGCCCTTATGCACTGGAGTACAAGCTGCTGTCTCTTCCTTTTGGGATAGCAGCCAACCAGGATCTCATCAGGTTGGTTGCCTACACACAAGATGGTGTGATGCACCCCAGGACCAGCTTCCAGGTGGTGGATGAGGACGTCACGTTACCATTTGCCCTGCGAGACGAGAACCTGAAGGGAGTACTGTTCACCACGAGGCCTCTACGAGAACCGCACACGTATCGGATGAAAGTCCGAGCTCTCTCCTACAGTGAGGACGGTGCCATTGAGTACCAAACGACTTTCATTGTCTACATCGCCGTCTCTGCCTACCCTTACTGAGAGCACTTTAAAAGACACGAGACAAACATGCGATGATAAACTGCATTTTCCACTGAAGAAAGTGAGTGGATGTGGTTTTGAAAAACCACGCCAGTCTACAGACTGAAAGGAGGACTTGTGTTGAGGATGGAAAAGAGCCAGAAAATGGACACAGACCTGAAGACACTTGGAAGATTAAAGAAAATATCAAAGAGGCTGATGGAACAGATGCCTTTTTTGGCTTTAATCTCAGTAGTGGAAGACTTACATAACTCCATCAGGACTTGATTAGTCAAATTTTATATATTCTGTTAATCATGTTTATTTTCTTCCCCACTTCACAGTTATTTATAAGATCTATTACATTTTATTCTACAAAGCTGAAGCTCCCATTGATGTCTGAGTGAATACATTTCATCCCCCCGTAAGCTCATTGTGCCTTTACATCTACCTATGTTTAACTTATTGGGAAGTGCTTGAACATGAAAAATGGGCAGTCTCTGCTCTTTTTTAGCCTCATTAGCAGTCACTGCAGTGGAGGTGTTACTATTTAAAATTGGTGCTCAAATTGGTCATTGAAGACTACCACATAATCTGCATCATCAGGTCATGGTCCATCATACAGAAGTGTCTCGAAAAGATCAGCTGCCAGTCTTATTAGCTCACCCATTCAACACTAGAAATTTCCATCAAGTGTTTGATACCAAGATGTATTTTTTTATGTCTTGTACAAAGGTGTTGTTTTTCATATTATGTAATGATGTACTTGTACTTATTGTATCCATTTTGTAATAAAAATGTAATAAATTAAATCACAGTGAGATTAGAAATTATGCTTATCTACAACCTTACTGCATAATTTGGCATTAATCTTTGATAAGATCCTCAAGCTCAGATCCTTTGAACTAAAGCAAAATCAAGGCAGGACAAATCAAAGATCAGCATTCATACTCTTTTATTTTCTTCAAAAAAGCACAAACTTAAAAAAGGAATATTTGAGTAAGGCAGATTGTTAATCAGTTTGGTCTGCTCCCTTGTTTTCAGCTAGAAGAGCATCACAGGATAGAATTCCACAAAGCAGAGGAGGTCATCAACCCTTTCTGTCCTTATGTATATCCATGTTTCACTGCATTAGAAAAGGTATCTAATGGATAGGATGCATCATCACTGATGACAGTATTCAAACATGACAAGTCATGCTTAAATATCAACTGGAAAGTAAAACAATGTGAAATCGAAAACCGTTGAAAAAATCCAAGAGTAAGTTTTACTGAATCTGGAAATGAGCAAAAACAAATAAATACTCTGGAATCAGATCCCCTCTCGATATGTGAGGAGCAAAACCGAGGTTGCTTATCTGTAACCTGCAATGTTTGAAACCACGCCACATTTTGCTTTTATGTTCATCTATTCTGTACATTGGGATAAATCCACTGCGTCTTACTTAATACACTAAATCACCAATTCAGGCTACATCATTCGAATGAAAGAAAAATAAATTGTTTGGCAACAGATGCAATCTACCCGAAAAGGCAGATCAAATATTAACATATCCAGTTTTCCGCAGCACATAAAATGCCTAAGCAACGTACACTCAGTCTATGTGGTGGTAGGGGTATGAGCTCCATTCGTTTTAACGATCGTACAGCCTGAATTAAAACCCAAAACCTGGAGAGAAAAACAGACAACTTGACATTTCACCTCAACATTTCCCAGAGACAAAAAACGTATAAAAGACAGGTGAGAAACGCTCAACTAAGTCTCAAATATGGGATCACGCAAACTGTGTGGAGTTCTTTTCATTTGAATAAAGTCTCGCCTATTCAACACAAGAACCAAAATGAATCATCATGTCTGTGTCAAACCTCAGCATGTTTTCTTTTTTAGTATTCTGACAAAGTGGGAATTTCTATTCAATTCAAATATGACAAAAAGAAGAAAATGTTTTTTTTCCGTGTTCAATAGTTAAAAAGAAAAAAAGAGCATTAATTATCATAGTGATGTTGTTTTCCTGAAAGTACAGAGAAAATGCATCTCCTTTGAATAGTACCAGCAGAGCCACATACGGCCCTGTTCAGTAGCAGAGGGATCATGCCAAACATGAGGAACAGCAAAGTGGGATTAATAAAACTGTTGATAGGGATGCATCGTGGGGAATAATCCTGCCCCTCCCCTCCCTTCCCCTCCCCGACGTGGGTGCCGACCCCTGTGGGCATATTCATCACCCTCCATCTGTGAGTGTGCTTTTCCAGGGCTCCTGCAGCTTGAGTGTCACTCTGAGAGGATTTACTGCCATTATTCCAGCAGAAATGCTCTCATGCTGAAAAAACAACGATGGAAACCAAAAATTGTGGGGGGGGGGGAAGCAACAACCTTTTGGTCATTGATGTAAAATAAATGGGTGTGGGGTGACTTCAAGGCTTGCCTGTTTTTCAGCACAAGTGGAAAGTGTAAGCAGAGTGCACAGCAGCAGAACCAAACCTTTTGAATCAGTACAAAGTCGGCAGGAATATGTCTGCAGCTGCCCGAGATTTACGTCCACTAGGTTTGGAACTGCTGCTGAACAGTCTGAACACATCCACAGGAGTGACACACACACACACGCATACAGGAAGAAAAGGAAACCACACACACATACATGTAGCACCCTGTCAGGAGTACAAATTTAGGCTGTGGCAAAGAAAGGGAAGGAACAGGAAATGGGGTTTTTAACCCAATATGACCCACATTGCAAGGTCTTTTTAACTCTTGCCTGAGCAATAGAGCTCATATTGGGTTAAAAATCTGTGCCGTCTGGTACGTGAACAGTGCAGTGTGCCTGTGATGTGATGTGGAGAGTTCCTCTGCTCTTCTTTTAGACCGTCTTCCTCGCTGTTAGTACTCTAACAATGCTGCCCACTCCTCCAGCAGCCAGAGCCTGTGAACACAGTCGAGAGAGATTTTTTCAGGATTGCCCAAATTTTTGTAGCACATAATGAAGATGGAAATCGTTTTTAAGGGCTGCAGACTTTACAGGCATCAACACTGGGATCTAGCCTCCATGTTTCTTTATTCATATGTTCTCTCTCTTTTCGGACAAGAACAAATACTGTGTGTAGTTTAAAGTTTGAGGAAAGCTAGGCCCAACAGATATGTGAATACAAATCAACTTAAATAAACTGGTTATTTCAATCAATTCCCTTTGATTTAAGTTTTTAAAAACATTTACAAACATGGTCATGTGTATTTTTAGTACGGATGCCCTATACATATATGTTATGCGAAGAAGTGGTTTAGATCGGGTTGCAGTGCTCCGTTTTATGGTTTGAGGACTTGTTTTTACTCATGACAAAGAGTGCACTTTTATGATGCTGGTGTCAAAAGAGGGATCCCTGTTGTTCTTTCTGAGGAAATAAAGGACAAAGCTGAACAGTTTACCTTTTCGTGCCACTGCAGCAGCACAGCGCTGCTGTTTTCCGACGGCCTCTCAAAGCCTTTGTAGATGTATTTCATCAGCAGGTCCACGCCATTTTTGTCGAGGGACTGCACGCCTTTCTCAATGTCGCTGCTCTTAAAGGCACTGAGCACCTTCAGCACCAGACCCTCTGCACGGTCCTGGCCAGACGAAAACAGGAGAGCGTAAAACAAACAAACACAGCTGGCACGGATCAGCAGATTTCTAAAATATAAATTAGCGCCAGTAAAGAATTGCCTTCAATTGCCTACATTGCAATTGAACAACCACCTTCATTACAATATCTCAACATTACAATAACAATCAGCATGGATCAGTTTTCCATATTAGCATATACCATTTTTGGCTCCAACAATGTTTCTGACATATCTGTTTCATGTTTCTGACAACAAAACCAAGCCCACCTTGACATTCTGGTTCTTTGTGTTTATTGGAGGGTTCTTCAGGACTGCGTGCAACGCCTCCATCAGATTTCCTGTGCAGGGAACGTTAAGGATGCACAACAGTACAGTGAAGGCCCACCTCCAAATCAGAAAAACATCACCGACAAGCACCGACATACACAGATTTTCAGCTATAGCCAGTGTCATTTTGGTGGACTCTGCTTCAAGGCTGGTGACTCAAAGAGTGAAATTCCTACTCAAGCTGACACTTGTCAAACCTTTTTAAGCCCCTTTGCAATGACAAAGAGACGGTTCCCCAAACGGGAGCGCATCATACATGGCTGTATACGCGGACATGGGAGGGTTACTTCTGCTTCTTAACGTGTGGGAGGGCTTTTCAAACGAGGAAGTGCACAGCTTTCAAGCCTTATAAGGCCTACCAGACCGAAACGGAAGGCTTTTGCCTCTACGACTCGGTTAAATATCGTGAGCGACTTTACGCGTTTTCATTATGAAGTTTCACAAGTGTGACATTTTATGTGAAAGAGGGGTTTTAAATGCCGGGCTCTTAAGTTGCGGTAATTGCACAGCAGCTCGCGCTGATTACACGCTAAAGACGACCCAAGCCCCCGGAGCAGTAAACCCAGGAATGTGACTGTCAGGCAAGTCTGGACAGTGACTGGTGACTGGCCTGCTGGCAAAACGCCCCTCAAACAGGAGGCAGCAGCGATAGCCACACATATGTACAGAAAATCGCGGTCGTTAGTCAAAACACAACGATTTTTCGGCAAAACGTCGACGATAGTGTGCAGTCTGTCGTATTAAAGGATATTGTCTGATGAGGGAGTCCACCTCTGCCTCGTCAGGACCAAGCTGATTTTCTCCACCGTCCTCCTCATCCACGAATTTGTTCTCGTCGTACTCGTCCACGTCTACTCTCCTGAAACGGGCGGAGACGGTGTTCTTCGACATATCTGCGGCGATTCGTGGGTCTCCTTCTGAATCAAAAGGGACAGGAGTTCAAGCTCAAGCCTGCCTTTTTGTCTGAAACGGGTGTCACAGACAGGAAGACGAGCGACTTCCTGGCTTCCTCTGCTTTCCTGCTCTGTGTTTGCTGGCTTCCGCTTACTCAGCACTGCGATCTAGCGGACAAAATGTGCAATTGCAGGTTATCGTTTTTTTACATCTGACATAGCCACTAGATGGCGACGAATCCTTAGATATCACAAGCGCAGTGGGTGCAGTGACCATCCACCTTTCCCTTTTGTTATACCTGGTCGATCCACTCCAGTAAAAGGTGGACTGCACTATGTGAAATACAGAAATTAGCCCAGTTGTAACTCACACAAACAGAAACCTCACTGTTTGCAACAAACCATATTAAGACTCCAGGTATGATCAGTGCCATGTGATCCATTTCCAAAAATGAGTGAATGGTTCAAAGCCCATAGACCACTGACATTTATCACAATGATTTGGTTCTTTCCATCATTTTCTAAATAATAATAATAATAATTCACTTATTAATCAAAATGTCAATTTTGATGTACCGACTTTGCTGCTGTAAACTGTCTCCCAGAGTAAAAAACAATGATTGATTTTTAATCAATAAATCTCAAATAAAATGGCTTAAAAATCCTAGTAAAAGTAGTTTTACCAAAGGAGCTCAGTGTCACTGCTGCTACACTTCTTCATGCTATAAAAACAGAGAATGATGATAATAAAGACGATCACCCTACTATATTCTTCAGTCTTAATTTATTTTTTAAACGAATAACCCTTTTTCTACCATCTTGATTCACAGTTATTGATTTGTTTGGGAAAATTTGTCTTTCCATTGAAATCCAGTTTTCTGTTCACAGAAAAATGGAATTCACGAAGGCATATTTCAAAATCCAATCACAGGGATTTAAACTTTGGCATTCATCATTGGTGTGCAAATGGTGGAGGTGCTGAATCTGGCATTGCTCCAGGTTTTGGGTATCAGACTAAACCATGCACAGATTAATATAGACCTCAGGTCTGTGGGGGGCTTGGACTGCGTTATATCCGCAGTTTAGTCATCCTCACCCTCTGTCTATGGCCATTCAGTCTGAAGTTATCCAGATAAAACCGCTGCTGTGATGCAATACAGGAATGCATTAGAATTCAAGTACCAGTGTGTACCAGTGTTGCTCAAGTGTGTTGAGCGGTGGATGACAGACATTTTCTCTACAACTCACTCTTAGGGTCTTACATTAACCTCTCATATTTCATGACATAAGGAAAGAAAATTAACAAGGAAGAAACTAAAATATGGTTGTTAAACCAAAGTAAAAATTGGCAAAATCCTTTTTATTGGGTCTTGTGATGTTGCCAGAGGTAACAGAAAAATAATTACTACGTGTCAAGACCAATCGAAACCACTAAAACCCACATGCCCTTTCTGGGAAGCCAAGAGAGGAGCACACCTACTGTATATTACAGTGATGCTCTTTGGAATGTTTCATTTCCTTTCCTTCTGTGTCTAGACTACAGACCATTTGCCTCTGGAAGGAGCGGGAAATCACTGACTGATCCCATTCTTTCCGGCATGAATGAGAAAGTGCAACTCCCTGCACGGGACGTGGGCACGTGGGAGTGAAACTCAGCAGCCAAACCAAAACGGAAAGACTGTGAGACTGTAAAAAAAGAGATCAAACACTTTTTTCTAACACTTTCCTGCCTCCACACCCACTTACACCACCTCGCATACAGAGGTCATGAGTAGCCTTGTTACAAGCTTTGTTTAGTGCCCCAACCTGTCTGTGCTATGTGAATGACTCAACACATTAGAAGGTGAGGAAGCAGGTACACGCACGACCTTCATGTGTGCATGAAAATTAAAAGGCTTAACAGGCTTGTCTTGAAAACAATAAGGACTGAAAGACCTGTAATTTTCCGCTTTTGAATCCGGAAAAACTTTAATTATTGCTTAAGGGCTTATAAATCATATGAGAACTCAGACTGACACTGCATCGTACTCCAGTACTACAGTGAAGAACCTTGGGTTTTCTTTTTTTAAATCAGAATACATCTTTTAATAACAACACATCAAGAACTGCAGAACATCCCTTTTCCAAAAAGGTGCTGAAAAACTGGTCCATGTATTTGTCCCTCACAGACTGCTTATTTTAGCTGGATGTCCTGGAAGTTCACTGAAGACCTTTGATATTGACCATATTGCTGTTGCCACAGTACTGAAGTTGTGTCAAAAGATGTCAAACTTCTCCTTTGGCCTCCACCATGAAGCACTGTAAAGAAAAGCTCTGACATGTGAAAGGTCTCATTTTTGCCTTGTGCAGATTAGCCTAATCGTGTAATCGGTACTTTCACACAAGGGGAACATTTCTCCTGGATGATGATTTAATTGAGGAATGTAGTGATTTAGCAGGTGCTGCGTTTGAGCAGGTCTTTGGACAGGGCGAGACCATGGGTGGTTTCATTCATTCAATTACCGAAGGTGACTGTGTGTGGGTGTGTGTTTGTGTGTGTGGGCGTGTGTGTGTCTGTGTGTATTTATCATTTAGCTGAGATTTCAGGTTTGAGGATGCAACTTCAGACCCATATAAGTTACCAGTCATCCCGAAACTCAAAAATATGAGGCATACCGAAATTATCCCCATAGAATTTGTGAATAATTAACGTTTAATGTATGTTTTGTATATTTTTTTATTTGATGTTTTTATTTGTAGATTCACTTTTAAAAGAAATACATCTCCGCAATATAAAAAAATGGATTCAAGCTCCCAGCTGCACCCATAGGAGAAAAGATCAATGAGAGAGGAGGTGTGTCGGATAAGCTATAAGCAGAATCCTTTCTGCAAGGCCTTATCTGCACCCATGACATATTCATTCAGCATTGTATACCTACATATCTCAAATATATATACAGAAGAATGCCACAACTATAAGATGGGTTACGTAATACAGCTGTGAAACAGATCACATGTACCTGATGTTTCCCCTCCGTAAACCTCATTTTGTTCCTCCCCTGAACAATCATATTACATACTTTTTAAAAAAAAAGTAGCATTCAAGTGTTATTTTCAGCATTCCGTTGGATTTGACTTCAAATGTCATGTTCTAAACACGCATTGAATAAATCTTTTTTACGATAAAAAAAACATTCCTAAAGGTCAAATCAATTTTCTAAAAGCTTTAAAGCTGTTAAAGGAATGAAAGTTACATTCCTGTTGTGGATTAAAATCCAACAAATAATCTGCTTTTTTAATGGTTCCATGTTCTGATTTAATACCTGCTGGAATACCTGAGAGGGTAAATCCGGTAGATGAAAATGAAACATTAAAAAAAAAAAGGGGGAAGAAAAAACCTGCACCTTTTTCCTCAGTTTATGTAACGTTTCAGAGTCAGAGATATCAAACATCTGAACAGACAACATTACAAAATGATCGATTCTCCTTTTTATTCCTATGCTTGTCATGTTCTGCCAGTTATGACACACTCAATGATCACGGGAAAGTTTGTGTGTAGTCGTAACAGCCCAAGAAGTGACCTTTTATCTTGTTACATGTAAACATTGTCATGAATTGTAAATCAAATGTATGATATTCAAAACAGCAACAGCACAGCAAAAACTGTAGAATTGCAGCATTGCTTACAGATATGTGCCTGTTTTTGTTTTACCTAAAACCATGTTGTGAAGTACACTAAATAATTTTTTGAGTGATTTTAAGATAAACTTCAACATTGCACTTAAAATGTGAGGCTTCATTCCCAGAGTTCGCCCAAAATCATGTATTTCAGATAGAAGTTACGAATTACCAAGAAAATCCTTTAAATTTTCATTCTTTTTTTATTTTCCTGTAACATTAATGCACAATAGTCAGCAGTGACTTCCGTCTATGAACAGTGTAAACAAAGTGACAATAACAAATTTTTTAATGATTATTTATGAAAATGTTTACCCCATATCTGCAGTTTTTCTGGAATTCTTTTGTTACACGTTGAGCTATTGAACCCACTGACTTTTTCACACTTGAGGCTTATAAACTTAATGCTACTCACAGTAGCCAGGAGATAATATGGAAATAATATCTTAACAGCTATATTCAGACTCAGAAAGCATATGAAAATGGTGAATAAAGCAAAAAGGCTGATGAACACAGTGGATCATTTCAATTGCTTTAAAAGTCATTCACATACAAAAAGGAAAAAAAAATCAATTAGAAATGTACTTTTGGTACATTTGTGTAAAGCCGTTTCCTCCATTTCCAGTCTTTGCACATTATATGTTGGCTGTTACTTGCTTAAATGTACCAATACAAGACAGACAGTTGAGAATATCTGATCTATGCCAAATATTAAAGAGTTTCTCTGAAGGATTAACATTGAAGGCTGCTGCCAAAGAAATTAAAACATTAAAAAAGACAAGAATACCTAGGAACCAGGTTCAATTGTGAAAATATAATGCACTAATCTGTGTCAGAGCAAAATTCCACAGCTCTCGGTGAAGCCTTCAGGCTCCGGCAGGTAGAGGCGTAGTGTCTCAGATTCCAGGCTTTTACAGCTGCAGGTGAAGGTGTAGTGTGTAAAATTCCACCTGATGCTGTTGAAAACCACCACTCTCAGGTGTGAGCTGCTTTTGTGATTTCACACACCACTCCGTCCAGCTTCCTTTCATAAATAAAGTGTATTTCTAAAAGGATCCAACATTGCGATAAGTTTGCTGGTGGAAGAAATGTCAGGAAGGTCATGGAAAAATGTGTTGGTATGTCAAAGGCAATCAGATACAACACTGCAAGGAAAATAAACAGAGTGCAAGAAAAAAATAGAGGAAGCAAAGTGGTTTCCATGGCATGGAGATTTGTTTTTAAAAAATGGTGGATTTAACGAGACACTCCCTTAAGGGGATCAGGGAGTGCTCCCTTTCTGTAGGTGGGTAAACATCATTTAGATGTTTGAGGTATCCAGAAGGGGTGCACTTAGCGTGTTTAAGAGTTGTCATGAAACATAACCAAAGAATACGAGCTCCTCATCCATGTTTCCAAACAGGAATACATGTTTAGACAAGCCATCCGGTTGGAAGAAAGAAGAAAAAACATGGTAAGCATGCTCTGTGGTGCAAGTTAAGTATAGAACAAGTTCAGCTCTCATACAGGTACAGCACAGGTGAGTATTATTACTGGTATCTCACTGAGCTCAAAGCAGAACTTGTGACCAAAGTGACTGCACAGGAGCAGAAATCAATACGAAAACTGCAGGTGTAGCTTTGCTCAAGGCAGCATCAGGTAAAGCCAAAGGTATCCTCATAAGTCAGGAATGTTGGAACCAGAGAAAGTTCACAGGGTGCAGTGAAGTAAAATCAATGAGTACATTGATATGAAAAATGTCTAAATTAATAAATTCTATAGTTTTGAATTCTCAGTGGATATAATAAAAAAACAACAGAAAGGACGAGTAGAGGTAACAATCCAATCACATTGGAGAGCAATGCGTTACTATTTTTTACATCCAGTCATCAAAAGTTAGCAGGGAGAGTAACTATCAGCTGTTTGGGTCCGATTTTCCGATCATTCACAATGTACAAAGAAAATGCAATCACAAAGCTTTTACTGGTTATGTTTTCTTTACAAAAACCCTCCGCAAGACTAAAATCCAGAGTTTAACAAAACCATCATAATTTAAAGTATACAGAGATAAGGATAAGAGCATTGTGTAAAATACATATTTTTAAAAGCATGACTTTTAGGCTGCATGAAAAAGTCTGCTCATTCAAGTCTTAGCTTCAAGCTACTGGTAATCATTTAAAGATTATTGAGGGGTTTTGACGTAGGATCTCTATTAAGAAACCTCCTTTTCGGGATCTCACTGAGAGAGAAAGGAAGGGAGCGGCTCGAGGGGTACTCCTTCCGCGACACAATGCAGTCCTTGATGGCCTCTTTAATAACCTACAAGGAAAATAGTACAATTAGATCCAAAACATTTTTACTTAAAAAAGTCTTGACTTTTCAGTTGGATATGTTGCTGGATGGATGAAGTACTGTATACTAATGAACATTTTTGTCTTAAAATGTTAACCTCATTGCCAACCACCCACGCTGGCATCCACTGCTCATTGGTTCACTACCAAAACTGTAAAAGGATGCTACAAAAACTACCTATGACTATAAATTTTAGCATGCAAACTTGAATTGTATTTGTCCTGACTTGTTGGGCGCATTCTGGGAAATCCTGTACACAGAATGCATCATAGAACAAACACCACATGCAGAGTTACATTTCCCTTACAAAATTAATAGAATGTGGGACAAGTGATTCATGGTTAAATTATTCATTTTACTTCACTGACTGTCATCTATTAACTCAGACTATGGATAGATGGACGAACATCTAAACCTCAGTGAAATACTTCAAACTTTGGGTAGATTTAGCTGTACACATACACCAGCTGGTGCATCTGGCAATTACATCTGGCTGAGGGAAAAGCCACCCACAAACTGTTTTTTCCTGGCAGCCCACAAAACTGTCCGAGTCAAGGTAATGTATTTAGGGAACAGAAGCACACAACATGAGCATAAATTCTGGAATTACATGCTTGTACCATGGATAGCCAAATGCTTTTCCATCTTTGACTTAAACGCGTAAATAAATCGAGCCCCTATCACGACTTTCTGTCAGGTGAGTTTGTTTGGTTGCCACAGTGATGAATTCCATCTGAGGAAGTGGTGACAACACCCCCACTTTGGGATAGGGTTGAAGATTCATTCGTTCAAGACCCTTTTCTCAACGCCACTATTTCCCTATGACCTTATTAGAGGATTTTTCTTCTTTTTTTTTTTACATTTACATATCCAAAGTTAATGTAAAAGCAAAAAATTAAGCTTTGACAGACACAAGAAAAAGATCAAATTAGGAATAACATATCAGCAGTTATAATTGGAAATTAACATCGTCTTCATAGTGTCAGCAAATCGTATTTAAACGCATGGCCGAAATGGAATACAAAATGTAATACATTATGCCTATTTTCATATACAGTATTTTGGTGACCACGTTGGAAAAAGTCACTTGCCTGGTAGAGCTAACGGCTCAGTGAAATCAAATCTGAATCCTTACTTAGCAAGGAAGTGAGTCACACTAAACGAGAGTTAATCTGACCTTGCACACACGCATGCGGTAAACGAGTCAAAACTTGTGCCATCCGGTTTTTGTAGGGGCTATGGCTCTTAAAATTTTTTTAAATTGCACAATAATAAAAGCTAATTTGCTAAAATACCTTGCTGACAACAATGAATGGAGGTATCTACAATGACTAATTCATTCTAATCCCTCCCTGACTTTGAAAAATACATGATGCGGTAGTCATTTTACAAGTTCCTTTTTTTTGTCCTCCACAGAAATATTTATTCCCTGTCTTACAACACACCAAACTGACCTCAAGGTTGTTAAGAGTGTTAAACTCCATGAGGTCGTGAAGCCGGGTGAACGCCTCATTGGAGTACTGAAAGTTGAAAGTTGAGAATGGTGACTCGGGATCATCAAAGATGTCAAAATCTGCAAACTCCTTCTCCTTCTCAGTGTCTCTGGGAACACCTGTAAGGTTCACAAATAAAACATGATCCACATGGATGGATTTTGAGTACGGTTTGAATATGGTTTTCACTATATAAATTGGGTATCTGTTTTTATTTCATCAGCAGTAATGCAGTTTAGTAAAGGAAAGTCTGACAGGCCCCTCATCTGTGATCCGCTTAAACTTTAGGTGGTTTGTTTGAATATTAAAGCAAATAGTATGTCCTTAACTTCATATTAAAAAGAGAAATTAGGCTCCGAAGGGAGAGGCTCAGAGATGATGTAACTTAAATTCCGTTTTCCGTTTAAAGATAGATAAGAATGCTATTTTTAATTTGTTTTGAAACAGAAAAACTGAGAAAAGGTTATCTTTTTTATCAAAATCTGAACAGCTCAGATGGGAAGCTACATAGGCTGCAGATATGAAATATTCTGTTCAAACTCACAATGTTAAGAACACTCTTTCATTTGTGGACTGACACTCACATGCCAGACCTGTTCTATGTATAATGGTGCCCAGATTTTGAAATGTTATGAGTGTGGTAGCAAGGGATAGAGAGAGCAAATCAATCACCACATTCCTAAACTAAAAAGCTGTTATATGTCCTTAGTATTTAGTGTTTCCATGAAAACCTGTACCAGCCGTGTGATACTCACCGTCCATCAATGGTTTAACTTATTCTGATGTGTATGGTATTTAGTGCAAAAGCCTTACATAAGAGCCATAAACAAACTGAGGAAGTATGTGGGCAGATGGCCTACAGAATGTAAAGAGGAGAGGAAATGTGTTTCAGTATGGCTTCAGATGTATAGCCTGTTTACACAAGGAGCCATACCAGAAGAGCCAGAGACTCCCTACCAGCACCTCAGGCCTTCAGGAACCATATTTCACTCAAGCTGGTCATAAAATACTGAACATGATGTTACAACATGCAGACTTCCAGTTTCCAGGTAAAAATTCCAGTAACCTCAAGCGGATGAATTTTACTTTGACCCATCAAAAAAAGCCTTTACAAAAAACATAAACCCTGTCTGGGGCAGACTATGGAATGCAACTTCATGGAAAAGGTGCCTCTTAAACCTACTCCAATAATACAAAGAGCCTTGGCATATTTTCCCCACATAGATCTTGTGAAAATCTCCACACAAGCACCCACTTACCAGGTGCTTTGAACTGCCTGAAGTTAATGTTGACCAGGACAAAGTGGATGACGGTCGGGCAGTTCTTCTCTCCTTTCCTTGGTTTGAAGACGTAGCATTCTTTCAGACCCTCACGGTCAAACACTTTGGGGTCAATCTTGGGGAATGGGAGCTTGTTCATTCTGGCCCACTTTTCTGCTAACAGGAGCTCCTGTGGCAAACACACACAAACGTTCTTCATTTCCCTGGTACATTACTCAGAATGCTAGAAACAGTCTGATTCAAACCTTGAAAGGTGGACTGGAGTCGCTTGGTCGAGCAGAAAAATCAAAGGAGATGATGAGGTCCACCCCACGTTGAGGCCGCAGTAAGAGCGGATAAGGGAGGTTGTAGGTCAGCCCGCTGTCAACAATATGGATCTTCTTACTTTTTACATCCAGTGGCTCATATATGCGATCGAATTCATCAGGATCTAAGAAAAAATGCAATATCGAATCAATTATGCAACAATGGAGCACGAACGGGAAACAAGTATTCTCCTTAATTCACGCAACTCATCTGTGCAATGACATGCATATGTGTCATGACCTTCTTTTCACTGGAAGCAAGCTTGAGTATCACTTCCTGATATTCCTGATATTAAAGATCACTAAGGCTGAAATTATTCAATGAAATGAACACAATGAACTGTGATTAATCTTCTATAATAAACACTATTAAGGGGAGCAGCTTTGCGTACCGACTCCCTTAATGCACCCAGTTTCCTGGTTGCCTAACAGACTAAGGAGTTATCCTTATTGAAACCAAATGTTGACGATCAGAAATATCAACAGAAAATGAACTGGGGAGGAAGGTGGCTCAATTAGTTGTGTGACATTTAAGTCTTCTTGAATAAGTCCATCCGATTATTAGTAAATAAGAAAATGATCGTAAAGGAATATGTGCGTTGATATTACGCTACTTTGATTTTCATTTTCTGTTGGAGCAAAACTATACCAGTAAACTATCAAATATTTGGTTTATCTTGCCTGTTACGGCATCCACCTCCTCTTCAGGTGTGGCGGCGTAATAAGCATTCTCGTTGGCTGGAGAGAAAGGGATGCTGGTGTTCAGGTTCAAGCCAAGCATGAAGTTATGCACCTTGTGAAACATTAAAAGAGAATTTTAGAAAAAGCGGCTTTCTTTGACGTAACGGATGATCTAGAACCGTACCTTCCCTGCCCGGCCCTCTCTCGTATTGAACAAGGCAGAGTCACTGAAGAGTGAGGTGAACATTCGCTGAACCCAGCTCGCCTGGGCAGTGCGATGAAACTCCTCCTCTGCCTCCTGGTTTTCTGTCCCAACTGAACCCCAAAGTGACAAAACATAAAGCAATAACAATTGTATTGACAACAAATATTACATTATTACAAAAAGCTAAACCAAATTTAAGTTTGATCTTTAGAATTTTATTTGTGCTATTGTGTTTTTCTTTTCATTTCTAATTATCATCCAGATCCCAAAAAGTGAGGATGCTACTTGAAGGAGGAGAAATGCTAAATACGGAACCAATAAAGGTGGAAAAAGATAACATTATTAGAAAACAAAAAATATCACTCAGGGCAAAAAAAACTGTGTGAATAATGAGTGACATGTTTTGCACCTAGACAAACATGTAAAACTTAATAATTAATAGTTTATTTGACGATGAAATTCCAAGCAGGTGTTTTCAATCCGTTGAATTTATATATGTATAAGAGGCTACCCCGTTTATTACAGCAGCAGGTTAATTTTATGTTTGCGGATGTGTGTAAGGGTTTCCATTTCTCATCAGTTTGGAAAAGTTTAGAATGCAATCCCTCAACCATTTGAACTAAAACAATCTCGAAAACTATGTACAAATGGAGGACATTTAAAATGCTAATAGCCTTATCAGGAGTGGACAACCAACAAAAAAATCCTCCAAGATCAGATGAGTGATAGTCTTAGAACTTCTCTTACACTGGCTCAAGTTAAAATGTATTCATAAGTCCATTAAGAGAACACTAACAAACAAAGTGCCAAGTCTGCAAAAAGAAGTGCACTGATCAAGATGTGTGGATTAATCATTTAAGCAAGAAGCAGGAAGAACAAAAACAAGAAGTATTACGTTTAGAGGAAATTAGTGATCTTCCTGCTCAACAACATTATCTAATCTGGGAAATTTTATGGTAGTATTATGGTTTGGACCTATCTTGATACAGCTGGGTCGTAGCAGTTTGATTTTTCTTAATTGAATGGCATGAGGCTGTGATTAATCAAAAGAGACACTTAAACTAAAAAACATGGGTTATTCTACCATAATATAGATCAATATTTCATGCTTGGAAATAGTAAAGGTGTTGATCTCAATTCAGTGTAAGATTATTTAAAGTGAAGACTCTGCGAACATATCAGAGTTACAGCTATTATTTAAGGAAAACTGAGGTCAAAAGCCTCCCGGCTGACACACAGAAGTCCTCAGGTAATGGTAATGTTTACCTGTAGCTATTACTCCACAAAGATAACAAAATATACATACCAAATAACTCCACCCGAGGAGATCGCTACTCAGATATGCTTCTCACTAAGTTATGATTTTCCTTCTTCTTATAGAACTTATGTGAAATTCCGATGAATTACAGTGTATTCATATATAAATACATAAAATTCACAAACTTCCAAGTCATTGCTTAAGTGGGAATATGGGCAATTACAGCATGCAATTCAGAAATGGTCCTAAAGCCAAAAGCTTTCAAAGTCATACGAAGCATTATCATTGTTATTCTCATTAAGCTGTAGAAGAAGTGAGTTTATAAACTCTTTGCATAAAGATGCATTTATGCTCACCTTTGCGTGGCTCATCATCATTGTCAAGACTGTCCTCTCCGACAATGTGCTGGGGTTTGATCTGCTCTGTAAGACAAAAAATAATCTTACTCTTCGAGTTTTAAAAGAAGCATGTCTTCTTCATAACACATAACAAACCTGAACCTATAACCAGATATTAATAGAATTAGACACTTTATTAATCCCAAAGGAAATTGCACAGGTTAATGAAATGATCAAATTCCCATTTGCTGTTTATCTTGGCAGAAATGTGAACTCTGATACACTAATACATTCTTAAACTGGTGGAGACATATGCTACTTCTGTGTAACTAACACTTGTCAAAGCGTGTCTGAATACACAAAGAACCCTCGCCCACAAAAGCATTCAGACTAATCAAGCATCAGATGAGCTGTCATAAAGGTAACACTTTTCCATTGTAGTGGTAACACACACACAAATATCACTGATCAAATGGAGAAACACTGGGGTACTTTTCTTTTTAAAGGTGTGAGAAGAATTACTGGCATGAAGGTGTGAAAACAATGCTGAGAGATGACATGAAGAAAGTGGAAGATATGACAGATGATACTACGATCTAGGTCAAAGTTTCAGTGAAGGTAACAAATTGAAAGTTATTTTATCAGTAGTAAACAGATACAAAGGAATGCTATGAAAACAAATATAAAGCACCCATGACTTAAAAATGCATATATAAGATTCTTCTGAGTTAAGAGTCGCAGAACTGTCACAGATACAGTGCTGTCAGCATAATGTTCATTTTCAGACTGAAGAACATATTGAACAGGAACTAACAAGGTCCTTCATTAAATAAATTTATTCTTTAACTTTATCTGAAAACTGATGTTTTGTAGTTATTAATTGCATTAAGCGTGATAATCTTCATAAATAGTACATTTAAAGGTTGTATCTTACTCTTATGAGCCGGCCAAATGTACTGCAGGTGCCGGTTTACTGGAGTATCTATTGCATTCATCTGGCTGAATTTTAATTCCATTACAAAGAAACAGTATTCAGAGCAAAAGCACTTTAAGTCAAGGTTTTGCATTTATATAGGTCAGACTAAACAAAAAGAAAAAAAAACAGAAAGATTACCTAATTCCTCCTCCATGGTGCTCCCACCAACTGTGTCCTTTACTCCCAGCACTCTGTTGAATAGAATTGAAAAGGCACTTCCCCACACACCTGATGCACCACAAACATGCAGGTCAATACCACAAAAGAAGATCTGGCACAGTATGGGGTGCTGTCATTACAAAAAAACGTTCTTACCCATTAGAAAATGAAGAGGGTTTTCCTCATATTTTTTCACAACAGTTCCCATGAAGAACTTGCTTCCAAACAAGTCAGGCGTCATAAAAGTGCCATATTTTGCCATTCCAATTTCATATGGGCTGAACTCCACCCAGTCTGCAGGACAAAATGTATGGATTAAACATATTTTTCCTGCACTGAAATACTTGAAATGTCAAACAACGCCTGAATAAATTTAACTTTGCATGGATTCCAGCAGGTCTGTGTGTATATATATATATATATATATATACAGTTTAACTTAAGAAACAAGTTGATAATACTTCAAAAGTTATTAATTGACACATGACTGTAGAATAAAGTTATTGCTTAATTCAATGTGAGTGGTTGCTACTGGAGCCACAGTAGCAATGAGGAAGTATTACATTATATGGGACTAACCCCAACACCACTGTGACCTTGTTCATACATGGTTACAGAGCTACTTGCAAATGCAAACTTGTCATTCGATGACAACCCAAAGCCCCATCCTCTCTCTAGAGGCGTTGCAAAATGATGAGGAAGTCTGCAGGCTGTTTATTTTACATGTGGCCTCACTGATCTGATCATTTGTAGTTCGTTGTCATTCAAGCAGAGTAGTTCTGCAAAGGATATGGCATCAATGAGGTCTAACTTTTACCTGCAAACATGAGCTCAGAAACATCTGGCTTCACATGTAGACATGTGAAGAGGGGAAGAGGACTCTGGGCCTGGTTTATTTTCTCCTGGATGTCACTTAGCTTGATGTCCATCCTCTGGTTGGAAAAAAAAAAAGATTATTCACTCATCGGCGACGATACAGACTTCAAATATTGCATTTGAAATATCTAAAGCATCAGAATGTATTGGAAAGAAAATTTCGTAACCCATTGCGAGGAATCGAAACAACAGAAATGACATGAAATTTAACTTCTGCAATCGAAGGAAAAAACTGGACCAATAGCACATTAAGTCATGAGGACATAGCGAATTATGCCTTTTCTCATGTGGTAACTAAACAGCAGCTGTAAGTCGGCTCTTACCGCAGGTATAAGTGTCTCTCCTATGAGCATACCGAAGATATCGGTAAACGTAACAGGCTGCCCTGAAGCCTTCTTGGTCCAGAGGGCCTGGATGTAGTTAGTGATATGCTGGGGCATCAGCAGTCTCAGTGGATTACTGCTAACTCTCTTCATCAGCTCACTGTTGATGTCCTGTGGGCCTTTATTAGGAAAGTCCGAGTGAGAGTACAGAGTGGACATGTACCTGCAAGGGAAAAGCAAGTGTCCAGATGTCAGTGCAAAATAATTGTTGTCATATCAGTTGATACATGCTTTAATTATGTCAGGGAGCACTTTAGGTGCTGTGCTTGTAATGAAGTTAGATCCACTAGGCCATGTAGACTGAAATAAGCGAGATCAACTTGTTTGGTGACAACTTCATACTGGTAAAAGAATGCAGGAAAGTTTGCCAGAGAAGGAAGGGGCAACACCCAATGAGAATCAGAAAAAAAAGAGAAAGAGAAAAAGAAAAGTGTCCTTTGTCATAAAGGAATATAAGGAAATGCAAGAGGTAAAGAAAGAATCTGATAGACATACCATGTTGATCCAGAGAGGCCGGCAATATATGTGGCACAGTCTAAAACCCCAGACTCGAACAGGGCCTTCATCACGCCTGAGAAGCCAACCATGGCCCGAAAACCACCCCCGGAACCTGCTATGGCTATGATTGGCACCTGCAAAGCACAGGAAAAAGTCACAGTGAGAGTCGAGGGACGTACTTCTCTTAATACATCATTACAATCTACAGAATGAAGAATAAATCTAAATTTACATTCAACATTCACACAAGCTCATTAGTTCAGTTTTGGAAATGTCAACCTGCTGTCTCCTGTCTTTGCAGAATTCTCTCATTTTTCCCTCAAATGTTCAAGTCTGTCATATTTTACACTGTACTATTACACTATTACACTGAAACTATTACCACTCAGCAGTCAGTGTTCGTCTCATGGCCCAATCTGAATATTTCCATACGTCTCAATCTCAAAGAGGGAGGTACGGCTTGGTTTTCACGGCGTAAAACAGTGACTAATATCTCATTCCTCTGTAGCATCTGGCATGAAGAAGTCAGAGAAAACCTGACTGGAGATAACAGCCAACAGCCAGTTTCTCGCCAAAACCAAACTGGCAGGAAATGCAGCTTAACTAAAAGCGTTGGAAAGAGTCATAGCTTTGCTTCCTTGTGTGAGAAAAAGTTGAAGTGTTATTTTGCTTTGAAGCAGAATTTGTGAAAAGTCAGCAAATGTGAGTAACATTTCCCTAAGCATCAGACCTAAAGCTTTGAGCTGCTCTTTTCTAAGTTTTCTTTATTTCCACTACAGCTACAGATAAGGAAGAGTGTGTGCTAGAACAAAGATTGCACATTAGCTCCACATACCTCATCCATCATTCCCCTACATAAGTATTATGTACATTCGGGCTCTGATCTTTTTAAACAGTGTGTATAGTTGTTGGAGTGGCAGTTATAAAATGATTATGGACACTGGCAGCAGAACAATGAACAATTACCAATGCAATCCATACAAATTTTAAGTAAAAAAACAAAAACAAAGTTAACATTATCTCCTCAGAACACGCAGGCTTAGAAATAGTGCTGGGTTGTACAGACCCATCATAGCAATGGCAGATATGGAAGCAGGTAGAAGCAAACTATTTTACACTTAGTGGTTCATTTCAAGTTCTGCTCGAGTTTAGCATCATGAGAGGACATGTAGCTGTGAACTAAAGTAACTGCATTAACAACAACACAGCTTCCCTTCATTACTGTGAATCAAGTGTTAATTTTGTGACTTCTTGAAGAGAGATAACCATCCTGGCTTTGATTATCTTGCAAACAGGCCAATGGCTGACTCGTGTTTATCGTGGAGCGTATATACAAAACTGCAACAGGTTGATGGAATACTCACTCAGAATGTTTTAGTGTCACATGGGATAACAGTAATCGTTCCAAATGGATGCTACAAACTGTGTTCCCACCTGTTCTGGAGAACTGGGGAGGAAGCGAGGCTTCTCCATGTCCAGCAGCTTTTTAATGCCCAGCATCACCCTCTCTCTGCGCGTATGCCTAAACTGCTTCTCTTTGTCACACAGGGTATGGCTGAACCTCAGGTCCAGATTTGTGCTGCAGACAAATTATAGGAGTTAGGTCTCTGCAGGTGGTGGGGAAAGTAACAGTTCATATTTGAGATTTTCTGCTTAGAGGCAGCAAGCAATCTTTCAGAATGCAAACCACAAATGGTGACACTCCAAGAGCTCTTTAGATTAGAGATCTGCTTTTGGGCGCTCTGTTGTAAAATACACACCCACAAAAAGCTGTCATGGCCTGAAACTTTTTATCACTCATTTTCTGATAAAAAAAACACCCCGTCAAACATTTCCAGACCCTCCCAACAAAGCCCCTGAAATGAGAATGAATCACTTTTATTTAATCTGCATATTACTTGCTGTTGTTTGAAATATCTGTTTTAAATTCTTCCTCTGCTGCAGATATGTGAACATTTTTTCTCACCTTTAGCAGATCTGTAAACTTACCCTTTACACTTATACTTTTAGGCTAAACAGGAAGTAATATCAAAAGATAATGTTCCCTGACTAATATGACTAATATATTTCCTGACAATCTTCAGTTTAATATTAATACATACCAGATCTCCAATGACATCTCTAAATATACTTTGGTTGCCTGTCAAAATAAATAAAATGTGGTTATTGCACATCCTTAAGTTTTAGGTGCACAATGTCTAATAATTCTTGCACTGGTTAAGACAAACCCTGCAATTTGATAGCCTCATAATTTCCTGGCATTCCTTTGTTGAATTAAAAAAAAACATTAACACCCAAAAAGTTACTCTGTTGCCACCCAGTGCACCATTTCCTCTATCAATGCTGCAGTATAGTGAAGTTTAAAGTTACATTTCTTATGTTGTGTCAAATGCTAAACTTATACTGCCATGCCATGTGTGCACCTCCTTATAAAAAAGACACAAGAATTTAGGCAAGTTTCTCAGAGATTTCACAATGACTGCTTTTGCAATATGTGTAATGAGTATAATGATTAATCTAAAAAGTCAATGAGATGTACTTCCTTACTTTGCCAATAAGGAAAATTTCCATCTTTTTCTGGCCCACTCTGAGCTTTGTGATGTCAAAAGATGTCGTCCCAAGTGTCTCATCCATCACATAATTGGCATCCATTAATGTTAACTAATTGGAACAGACACCAAACATTTATGGTTAAAAACATGTAAATACATTCATAAGTGTGGTATGAACAACTGGTTTTCAAAAGATTTAAGTTCTGTCAAATATTTGAACTAAGTGTAATTAAAATAAATAAAAATTCATGATTGCATTATTAGGTCTAACCTCCAGGACATTCTGCTGGTTCGGATCTAATATGAAATTAAAGGTCTCGTTCCACTTCGGGTTGATGTTGTTGTCAATGTGCTTGGTCCTCTTCCTGCTCTCTGGGGCTGTCGGGATGAATAGCTCCACATATGGATCTGGAGTATCCACTAAACACACAAACACATTCAAAAGTGTTGAGTCAAGTCTAGAATACTCTCAAACCATCTTAAGTATATTTGTCAACTGTTTGAAGCAAAATGTGAATAACTTGGGCAGCTTTTCCCTAACAACACATTCAGCCAAAACAACGAACACATGCAGCATGTTCTGAATGAAAATAATGTGTTAAAGACTCACAAAGGTCACCAAGCGCTCCTTTTGTAACGTTCTCTGCTCGAACCACAATCACTGTGAATTTGTGGGAGAACTGCTGCTCCACCTGTGACAGAATCAGTCAAACCAAGTTCAAAACATAGATAACATCTGCACAATTATGATTAAAAAATAACATCATCTAATTCACTGCAGATCTGTGAACCAGTCAGGGAGAACATCTGAGGTTTTTGGCAGACACTGACGGTCACGCCCACCCAGAGGTCAGTTCCCAGCTGACTTCACATTGTTCATGATATCGTTCTCTGTGTATCTTATTTGAAAAGATAACCTTCAGAATAGCAGTTTTTGGGAGTATCTGAAGGGGCTGATGAGAGACGGGTGTTTCATTGGGGTTTCACTCAAAAGATAAAGTTACAGGCACAACAGCAAAGATTTGACGGAACACACCATTTCAGTCTTTCTCATACTTGCACCCTGTCCACGAAACCCGACACAAAACAATTGTGATGTTTTTCTTCATTGTCATTTTATACTTCAGTGTTTCTTTGCTAAAGGACTCACTTAGGTATGTTGAAAAGTATATTTTAAAAGATAACCCCAGATTATGAAAACACTAATGTTAGTACTGTCACTACTGTTATTTCATTGTCTTTCTCTTTTTGGTTGAATAAGAAATGTATCTTGGTAATCAGAAGAATACAAATACAAAGTCATAATGTTCATTTGTGTTTTTCTAACATAAAGCTGTAAGACATTTGAAAACATCGGTCTCAAAGGGGATTGTAGCTTTCAGTTCTTTGTGTTGCTTGCAACCAAAGTAAGAACTCAGCTTCCATTTGTTTTGGCTTGTTTTTTTGGCTTTCCTCCCATTAAAACAGAATTCCACCCAGCTTTGCCCAGACTGAGGCAGACATAACCATTTTTCTATATGTGGCAGGTTTAAAACAGCACACATGTCCAGAAGCACATTGTTTCATGCATACACTATCTATCTATCTCCAAGACAGTAAAATTTGAGAATGAACCAACACATTTGTTTGGTGCTGCCAGGCTATAATGTCCGTACAATGCTGAAAAGATATCTACAGCTGCCATTGGAGGTCACTAATCTTAAACATCATTTCATTTGTCTTTTACAGATTCAGATAACAGAGGCTGTTTTGCATTTTTGCCGTGTCGTGTTGACATCTGCTATTATTCACTTTCCCGCATAGCCTTGAAAGACTTCTAGTTAGTGATGGATTGCTGCACATTCTTCTGTGTTAAGTAAACTTCAATTTGTTTTCAACTCACCATATAAAAATCGGAAAGATAGCAAGTACCAAGAGAAAGTGAAATGACAGTCCATAAGCACACCAGTTATCTGTTAACCATGTCGATACCTCGAAAGAACCTGGAACTTCCAACAATGGTACTGGGGTATTAATGTAACTATTCTAAAGGTATAAAGGTCTGTATAAAGGTTTTTTTAATTCATTTTGTTTCAAGAAGTAAGATTCTGTCTGCCATTATTTTTACTGTTCAACCAGCATCTTGAGACCTGCTTTGGTGTGATCTGTGCTACAGATAATACCATGTGAATCTGCCCACCTCCATCTAAGCAGCTCTATGTTTACATACCATAGATTAAAAAAAACTAAACAAAAAAAAACGCACATCAGACTCACAATTATATTGGACGCCATTGTGTTGTCAGGCGACTCGTTCTCGGGAAGGTCTTCAGCTAGATGCAAACTTAAACTCAAGAGGGCATCTCAGTCTGAAACAAGAGTCTGAAACACAGAAGGGAAACTTCATTAGACTGTTGTCTCAACAGTATGTCAACAATACAGTGGTGGGAATGTTCTTTTTTGTAACTAATACCGTTTTAATGTCCTTTCAAAATGCTGTCACTGCATAAAAAAACGGCCTTCTAGAAAAGGAAAGACCAAACTGCTTTACAAACATTACTATCAGTGAAGCCTTATGTAGCTTGGCAGGGGCAACGGAAATGAGCGGAAACTCAGCCGCTAAAACAAGATAAGAAAACCAGGCAAATAGAAAATGTTTCTGTGTGCATACATCTTTGAAAGACGCATGGGGTTTCCGTGAAAAGGTGCTCTATATTCGATGGCCTTCATATGACTAAGCAAACATGTACAACTGTGAAATGTAAAGCTGGCTGTGGGTTTAAACGCAAGGTGACAAGCAGACTATTTTTAGCATCATTAGCAACTTCTCTCTTGAGGGTTTGAGCGCATTCATTTGCATGATGGGTGAATGTGTGCTGCCTAGTGACAGCATATCATGGTCATCAAGTCTTTTCTCTGCTGCTCATTAAACCGTGTCATTACTGATGGGGCTGGGAGCACGTAGGAGCATCTCTGTGTTCACAGCGATGGTCACGTACTCTGCAATAGAGGTCCAACTGTTGGTAGTGCCAGTTCACTGCACTGCCCTGATTCCGCAGCACACAATGGGAGTACGCCGCCCCTGCAAGGTTGCTAAAATAACCCCGGGCCCGCAGCAGGAGATTTTCATATGAGGAAAAAGGCTCACACCAAATCGCCGGGACGCCAAACAGCTGCTGTGGACGTTTTGGGGCACATTTAAAGCCTCCATTTGTGCAAAATCATTATCACCTGAGCAATTAAAAAAGCAATGGTTGGAAAGAGTTCCTTCCTTGAGGTCACTCTGCATTTGAAAAGAACCCAGACTGGGATGAGGAGCAATTACTATCTAGAGGACAGTCCTCACAAAGAACTTGTCATTCCAGGCCAGCAACAGGTTTTGCCTGATTTTAGGTGACTGAGAGCATTAAGACCAGATCAGACAAAGGCTGATATACCTGGGCAACTTGCTATGACAGGTAAAGTTTTAGCACTGCAGTAGATCATGCAAGATACTCCCGATTACTGTAAACGCTAGATGGGATGATTTACAAAAATGAATGCATCGAAAATGTTTTCAAAATCTCTAAATTAATGCATCTATTTCAGTCTTTTATGGGCAACCATTTGTACGAGTGCGCACGATCTGACTTATTGGTTGCGTAAAGTGAGAGCGTCTCGCGATGAGGTTATTTCCACTTTTCCAAGCAGCATTTGCAGCAGTTAGTAGACTTCTCAGAATGCTATTTTTCCGGTTGTCTTTAACGTAACACAACGCCGTATGTAGTCAAACAAGAATGGCAACGTACCTGAACGGGATCACAACTGTCAACTTAGAAAACCGGTGAAATGTCTCATCTTGAGCGAAAAACAGCGCTCCACAGCTGCACTGGTGAAGATGGAGGTGACTCTCGGCGCAGACTGTGCGAAAACCGCGCTCTCAGGAAGAGATAGCGATCCGACTAATACCACAGATGTTGTCTAAAGAGTCGGAAGGGTACGCATGAGAAGAAGAAAAAAAAACCTCGATGAGCCGGAAAGCGAAGTGGAAAAGTCCGGTAAAGGGTCAAAGTTTGACTCAGCGGGGGGAAAAGTGAGCGTGAGTGTCTGCGCTCCACTTCTCCAAACGCACACCCGCGCGTAACTACGTCTACGCGGGGGCGTGAAAAGACGGACGACAATAAACTTTTTCTCCCCCCTTGAAATTTTTGGTGCATATAGGGACCCAAAGAGCATGACACACAGGGGTGACGGTAATAAAGTTAAGTCCACTTTGGATCAAGCTGTTGCTTATTTCCGGCCTGTTTTACATAATCATATAACCCTTTATAATCCACAAAAAAAATCCTCCACCGGATGGATGTATGGATAGATAGATAGATAGATAGATAGATAGATAGATAGATAGATAGAT